TCTCCGTTGCGTGTCGCTTCGCGTTGAATTTTCGTCGATGTTAAGCCTAACAAAAACTATTGTATCGTTAAAAAGTATTTTTTTATTTTGTACAGACAAAATGAATATATTGAAAAATATAAAAACAATAAAAAATTATACTTCAGATGTTAATTTAGTATCAAAAACGTAAAATATTTGAGTAGCCCAAGACATAGCCAAAGATTGAAGCGCCACAGCACTGGCGAAAATTTAAATTTGCCGACTGGAATTCTTTCGGATGATTGACTTTCGGATAATCGACACTTTACTGTATTGACTATGACTAGCTTTTAAATTTATTACCTTAAGTATTATTTTAAATAATATTTAATACAGTAGAGCGTCGTTTATCTGAATCAATTGGGGACTGGGGTTGTTCGGATAACTGATTATGTACGAAAAAATATATTAACCTATCCCATCCTGAAATTTTTCTCAGTTGCGTGTCACTTTGCGTTGAATTTTCATCAATGTTAAGCCTAATGTAAACTTTTTAAAATAATAATCATGACTATTGTATTGTTAAAAATTATTTCTTTATTTTGTACAAACAAAATAAATATATTGAAAAATATAAAAACAATAAAAAAATTATACTTCAGAACTTAATTTAGTATTAAAAACGTAAAATATTTGAGTAGCCCAAGACATAGCCAAAGATTGCAGTGCCACAGCACTAGCAAAAATTTAAATTTGCCAACTGGAATTCTTTCGGATAACCGATGTTTCAGATAACCGACTTTCGGATACACGACGCTCTACTGTATATATATTAAAATGTGTGTTAATTTAAATGGAGTCTGACTCTTGATCCAGTAATGTACTGTAAATATGAATATTAAAGTCACAGAAATCAATACAAATTCATATTTCAATCATTTTCAATCATATTTTTATTAAAACAAATCTACTTTCAGAATGAATCAAAATATAAATTATTTAAATTTTTAAAGTGCGAGATCATGTGAATATTGTACATCTTAGAGGGTTGACTGATATATTATTGATCTCAGTTTACTGAAAGAATCAGGAACTACTACCAGTATATAAAATAATTGATTTGATACCTGTAGTACACCAGTATCAAATCAATTACTTTATGTATTTCTCAATATTTCAAGTGGTATCATATCAATTTACATTTACTTTTTACCATCACAATTCCAAATATATCTTTTAGTTTTAATTCTTTAATTATATAAATTCCATATATACTGAATTATCTTCAAGTTTTATCTGCTTACTATTCTTCTTCTGATATTATTTTTAGTTATTTTAATGCCTGTTACAATTTTCATGTTATTTATTTAATTGTTAATTTATTATATAAATTTGTTTTCCTAATATTTGATAGGTATAATATCAAATTGATCACTCTATACAGGAAGGTGAAAATTTTGAATGAAAGTCACATGACTTCCAGTTCAGACTGGAAGTTTGTAAATAGTTAATTAGGGCATCTGGCCGCCAAGTTTTCCATATCTGATTTCAATTTTCATCTACCTAACTCCATTCTCAAGATTAACAAAGGATAGATGGACAATAGTGGGAATATATAGGTCTGCAATTTGAAAATTGCTGCCCAATAATATTTATAGTGAGTATAATTCCAATTTTAAAATAACAACAAAAATCTGTTTAATTGAAACTCACTAACACTGAGTAACAGTTTCTTTAGTACTTTCAGGCATTGTCCCATTGTCAAGAGGTCAAGAGATACAAATATGAATTAGCTTGATAGTTAGCAGATTTAGATGACTTAGATATTAAGCTAGTTCTCTTTTTAGTTCTTTACAATAGACTTAACTACCTAAAAATATTAGAGAAAGTATTATTCAATATTAATAAACTCCAATAAAGCAAATTTTTGTTATTATTGATAAATATTTAGTTTAGACTCTTCTTGAAACAAAGTGCAAAAATCAATTTTTAATTTCATAAATTACTAGAGCCATTCTTGACCATCTTCAGTAACATAACTTTGCTATTTCATATCACTTTGTATGTTCTCTGCATTTTTTCATAAGTCATAAAAGTTTGTTGTATATAATATTAGCTTTATATTTTATACACAATTATTGAGATCCTGGAGAACCCCTTTCTTTCCTGTGAGAAATACATGGAATAAACCATAACAACTAATTGTGTGAACATCAATATCTAAGCAATTACATGTTTGAAGAGAATCAACTAACAATGGAGAAATAAACCTTCACCCAAGTTGTCATAATCCCATGACAAAATCTTATTATGACCCACCAGACACAGCTGACAGAATAAATAACCTGATTAAATTCCCACACACAGTGGGATAAAAGAGGCAGACATTGAGCCTCATGGCGGACTCTACCATAGAAGCTCATGGACCCAGGCTCGTCAGTCAACATTCTCACCAATTTCAATTACTGTCTCTCTGCTGCAAAGATCCACGATTGTCTCCCCGACTCTCCTATAAACAGAACCAACAGACAGCAGGCTGTTTAGGAGGTATCCAGTATAGATATATCTAAACTCTCTCTCTCAGTCAATTAGAGGTATAAGTAACTAGATAGATAGCAGACATATTGTATTCCTGTAGATGTACAGTGGTGCCTCGTATAACATACGCCTCGAATAACGGATGCTACGAACAACGAACTTTCTGTTTGGCCATTATGTGAGGTGAACAACTGACTTTCTGCAAACAAGTGCAAATGATGTTTCCACTTTTTTGCCATTGCCAATGATAATCTGCTAATTTTAATTAGTATTATTAGAATATATTATTAGTATATATGAAGTACAGAGCTCCCACTGGGATTCGGCTTGCTCCCTTGTTTATTATGTACATCACCTCAGTGCAGGGTATTTACATTTATTCAAGTGTTGTGCAAATCACGGCTTCTAAAAAAAACAGAAAGGTTATTTCAATTGAAACAAAGCAAGAAATCATCAGGAGGAGTAAAAGTTGACAAAAACTTCCTTGTCAAATGGGGAGAGGTTCAGGAGTTTACCAACACTCATTATCCAAACAGAGCTGAGGCCAACAGGATCAATGATCTCTACAATGACACCCTCGCCCTTCATTTCCGACAGGTGTTGAAGAAGAGAGAGAAACAGACCATCTTGGACATGTTTTTCAAGAAGCCAGCTGCCAAAAAACAAAGGATGGAACAAGAGGAGTTGATCCTGCAAGCCCCGATAGCCTCTCCTGAATTTGACTCCGATTAAAAAACAATAAAAAGAGACCTGCTGCAATGTGTAAAAAGTCTGTATCTGTATGAATGTATGAAGAAAGTGTTCCTCCACCTCCTCCTCACATCTGACTGCCTGGCATAATTGGAGACTGCTCCATTTTTTTATGGTACAGTACGGTTATTTTATGCTGTGGAACGAATTATATGTTTTAACACATATTTCTATGGGAAAATGAGTTTCATATAACGGACTTTTCACTTAATGGATGTGCACCTGGAATGGATTAAGTACGTTATACAAGGTATCACTGTATTATCAAACTATAGTGATAATTGTGACTGTCTGTAGAAGTAGTACTATAACACTAGTGTAATCATTTTATCTAGCTTATTAAACTTGTTACTTGTTAACCTGGTAACCTGTCTTTATTCAAAGAATGGACCCCTATCAACTTACTCATTTACCACTCCCCACTTGACGCCATCCAATGATGCTGCGAGCAGACTTCACAGGTCCAACACCGGAAAAGGAGGTTTAAACCAATAAATTCAACCTCCGGGCTACCACACTTATTTATTTCATATATTGAAAATATTAATAAGAAATAATCCAATATTAAGATACAAAAAGTGCTATAATTCATAATAATGCTGATTAAGTTAATAAAAATAAACATCTTCAAAAATAGGCATTTAGCATTCTTTATCAACATTTCAAACCATGTTTTATAGGCATTAACAGTTTGATTTAGACTTCTCCATAATATGTAAAACATTTTATCTATGAGATTTCGGATTTATCAACAGATTTATTCTGAGACGTCTACAAGTCAGGTATGAAAGTTATAGTCAAAGATTCATTTTAAGACTTTTGTTTCTGAATAAAAATGGACATAAATCAATTTAACTTTTAAGTTTTTTTTTGAAAGAATGTAACTAAAAGTAGGGATAAAGTTTGTGGCACCCAACATTAAAACTATCTTTAGATATTTGTTAGACGGTGATGTTCAATGTTTTGATTTTATATATTTCATTTTTGAAAAGGTTTGTTTGCAAAGCTACTTAAAAGCAAAGATAGAAAACATCCCTCCATGTAAACCCCGTTCTTAGGGTTTAAAATTCACTTATTTCTAAAAATTTAACAAATCCCTTCTTTAAATAGGTTTTATTAAAATCATTTGCAGTAAGATCCATTAATTCTAATTGACTTTTCAAAAGTTTATATGCTTTGAACTAGTTTGAATGTTGGTGATAAAATATGTCATTGAAATCAAGTTATGCAGGCAAAAAAAATATATATATATGCTTTGGGACCTTATTTTGGCCTGCGAGCCATATATTGGAGACTCCTGCTCTATACCACAGTATATATTTATTTAAAGTATGAGTGTTTTTATTAATATTAACTTTGGAAAAGAACATAGTTTTAAGAGTTAAATTTTAATACATTACTTACGATAAATGTTTTCATCTGTGAAAATATTCACTTTTTCAAGTGAAATTACTGGCTTTAATGGATATAAATCTGGAAATTCTTCATTAATAGTCATTTGAACTTCTTCTTTATTAAATAGTAATGGAAGTGGTTTATCGCTACAGAGAAGAATATCAGGTGATTCTAATGGATTATTTACAGCTTCAAAAATAACTGGATCATCATCTAAGAAAAATAATAAAAAAGAATATTATCTTTCTGGAAAATAATTAATTTTCAAACTTTTTGATATGTATTGAATACATATTTGTATATAAATATATATATATATTTCATATACATTACTGTTTTCTATTACAAAATTTAACTAAAATCAAAATAATTCTTTATTATTTCAGAGCTTTTCTTATAATTCTTTCCATCCTTTAGATACTAAAGAAAATTTTTTTTAATATCCATTACAGATTCAAACCAAACCCTTAATAGAAACAATCAGATAGTGAAGAAATGGAATCTGACATATCCTTATTAAACTTTCATAAAAATTTTTTATGTTTAATCCAGATTTGACACAAAATCTCTCAGAATGGTAATCCAATATCTTTACTGCTGCAACCGTACAGTCAGAAGAATTATTTTAGATTAATAATTAATAGAAACTGCTTCAGGTAGGAACATATTTTAAATTTATAGGTGCACTGTTAAATATATTTATTCTTCAAAAGAAGATACAACCAATTTATGACTTGATACAACTACTAAATATTTTACTCTATTATACTCTATTTAGAAGAGTGAATAAACGTAGCAATATATTCCTATTTGGCAACTTAACTAAACACATAAATATAACTTTAAGAAATTCAAATATTCCATGAAAATTAAATTATTTACAAAAATAAAACATTTAATTGTTGGATTATGAAGTTTTTAAATCTGTTTTCCTTTAATTGACTGCTGTATTAACTTTTTAAATTGCATTTTAACATAACTTTGATCTCAAACAAGTAGAAATGGTCTTAAAATTTATTAAATAAATATTAAAAATAATTTTAAAATTTTAAACTGGAATATTTTTTCTTCAATAAGTAGCAAATATTTATATTTATGTAATATTTTAAAATAACAATACTTACATATATTTAAACGTAGTTTAACTTTCGGATCTATTATCTGCATTCTAAAAATATTATTATTTTTTCTTACAGAAATCCTCTCACATAAATGCAGTAGTCTGGTTAACAAGTTTAAGCTTGAAAATATATTAAATAGTTTTAGGAAAAAACAAACTTAAAATCAAAAATAACAATTATAACTTATTTAAAAATATAACGGTAGTTACATTTTTCTGTTGTGAGAAATACCAAATTCTCTCCGAAAATTCCACGTTGGTCTTTCGGGATCTACTCTTTTTGGTAACTTTTCCTGCACTCCATCCCATAATGTAGATTCCAGTACGCAATGTCGTACTATATCTTCAATTTCTAAATCTGACAGATCATCTACATTGTTCTTTAATGACGAGGGAAAGCCTTCGTATCCTATTGTTTTAGTAAGTACTTTTCCCTGTTTATCACCTAAAAACCAATTAGATTTAGTGTTTTTTTTAAAATGAAATTACATGTTTTACTGTGCTTATATATTACCTTCAATTAATATAGAATTTCTATCAAACCAAAAAACATATTGATCGTGCCAATTTGGATTTCCTGGTCCTTTAATTAAATATGGGTTAAGTTTATATGGATCTGGAGGTTCAATTCTGAAATTATTAATCCAGTAATATTTTACATTCATCAACATAACATGTGCTTAAAAATTAATATTGACATAAATTTAAAATATCTCACTTTGGAATTTCTTTCTTTTTTGGTCTTGCCACCTCCAAGACATCATAAATTTTTACATTCAGTGCTTTCAAATCTTCAGGAACACCATAATCAGTTATTTTAATTTTACTTTTAAGTTTCCATTTTTGTTTGAACATCCAACCAAGATGTTGCTTCCAGAGTACGGACGAAAGTCGCATTTTTAAATCTGTAGCAATAAGAAACAGTTAAATTTATAAGACAAAAAGAATTGAAATAAATATAATTAGTGTGGAAAAATGCAGAAGTTTGCAACTTTCTTTTGTCTACTCAACTTTTAAAAATAAAACTTATATAACAAATAACTGCTATTCATTTTGCAATAATGTTTTTGAAGCTTTAAACTGTTTCCTTTTCACTAAACTTTTAAACTTTTCTATAGATTCTTCCTCATAAAAATGAGGCATCTGAACTTACAGTAGTTTAAAGCATCAAAAATATCAATGCAAAATAAATAAGATCTCTGTAATCTTAACTTTATTTTACGTCAATTATTGATAACCATCAAGAAGTCAAATATTTTACACAAGTCAATATAATCATATTACAAATTAATTCACTCATACTTTTACTTATTTCATACTATTAGTGGTACTTATAACTCAAATAAGTTATAACTAAGGCTAGAGTTGCCAACTTTCAATTTGAACACACATTTTTTTCTTTTATTCTTTCCACCTTATGGGCACCAAGAGGACCTTTCCTCGGATTTACTGCATGTTTCGTCAAGCCGACAACGGGGCAGCTAAGTGCGACAAACAAAGGTTGGACCAGTCTCCAAAAAATTTCTAGATTTTCGACTCACCCGGATTCAATCACCGGTCTGCCCGAGCAGTATAATGACAACGTAACCACTTTGGCCATCCAGCCGGCATTCTGGACGGCGTGTGGGAAAAAACATCAACCCGAAAAGTGACACCAGAAAGAAAACCCCTTTCTGTAAATGAACTTGGGGACTTTTTTCCTTACTTTGCTGATTATGATGAGACAGTGGGGGAATACAACCTAGTGGGAATGAAAATAATTAAGATTTGGGTGGGCAACTTCTCACGAGGAAAAAGGGAGGAGTTAAAACAGAAATATACAAGTTTTCGGGTATTTTTAAGAACACATTTCCGAACAGTTAGCAACATTAACTGAAGCTAGGCGATGTAGGCACTAAAAATCATATAAACAGTCCTAGCTTTACACACAATACGTAACCTTTCAATAAGAAGCGTGCATTTTAAAACAAAGTAATTGATTATTATATGGAAAACATTTAATATTTTTATTTTCAATAAACTCAGATATCAATTATGAACAAATATACTAAGAAATTTGAATTTTTACTCACACGCTATATATATAAATTTTCAAATATTTACGAAGAAAACAAAATACACAGACACATGTCTACTCGGATATTCAGCGACATAAACGCCACCTAAGTGAAATTTAAAAAAAAAAAAATTAATAATAATAATAATTTGATTTTGATTTTAAAAATCTCTTATATTTTATTTATTTTCTCCGAGTTTCGTTTATTAAAAATTAATTTAAAATTAATAATAATTTCTTATCAAAATAACTGCTTAATTTAATTATGGCGGGCGGGTAAGTGGATTCGAAGCAGCTAGAGTCAGAGTCGGTAGATTAACTATCGACTCTGCTAGAGTCAAAGTACAGTACCTTGTTTATTTAGTTATGGCAACACGATCAGCCTAGGGGGATGCCTTCCGGAAGGTCTTTAAAAAAAAAATCCAGCAAAGAGTTGTGTAAATTTTCCGGCCAAACTTTAAAATTGTATGTGGCGCCATCTGTTAAGAGATTTTATTTTTTAAATAACTTATTATATTATTAATTAATATAAAATGAAGAAAAGCTTAATTTTGAGAATAGATACGATACAAGTTTTATTTATTTTTTAATGCAAATACTAATAACGAATAAAATCTTCGTTAAGTCCGATCCCATTCGAGATAATACGTGTACAAACGACTCTATCTCATCATCCTCTCGATCTTTAATCATCAAAATTTAATAGAATAAATGCCCTTAATATACAAACCTCACTGCAAAATTTCAGATATTTTCGACAAAAGGTATAAGAGTTATTATATAAATTCGAGTCTTTCCTTTGGTCACGGTCATGCACTTATTTAAAGAGTAAAGACCCACAGACGTCCATTAAATCTGTTGATTATCGATGAAGAACGCTTTCCACGTGATTTTCCGTGTGTTTTCTTCACGTGTCTAACACCTAAATTGATGCAAAAGGCCCGCGTGTTGGGCTGTTTTATTCCATCAATCCAATTCAATCTCATCACTTTATTGTGTGCTCGACTGAATCCATTAATGGACATAGAAAAGATCCTCTTAGTACCTACAGGGGAAGAGTAATACGAGGAAAATAATTTATTCAAACACGAGTAAAATATGTCAATGTAGAATGTGCAAATATTTTTACCCAGAAATAATTTTATTGACGAATTAGAACGTAAAAAAAAAAATATGTGAATCAATAGGTTAAAATACCAAAAAGTGAATCACGAGAGCAATAAACTTTATCCATAACATTTCAAGAAATGATTTTATAGCGTGAAGCATAAAATATTTAAAAATTGGCATTTTCCTGATGTTAAATTTATAAATTGTTATAAATGTCTTTATAATTTTTAATTGTAATTTACATATTTCAATTTTCAATACTTGAAATTTTCCACGCCAATGTGATGTTACGAAGCTTTAGTCCTTACAAACACGGTATATATTCACGAGTGAATAAATCCATTGAACACTGGTAGATAATAGTGGGTTTCGTGCCTGAAAAAATGGATTGCTCTCGTGGGTTTTTCACCTTTGTAATACTCAAAATAGTGGTCAGTTTCTTTTAAAATGTCCTCCTGGGAGACATTCCCCTTGGCGTAACATCTAAAATAAGGCTCAATTTATTGTAAAATGTCTTTCTGGGAGACATTCCCCTTGGCGTAACATCTAAAATAAGGCTCAATTTATTGTAAAATGTCCTCCTGGGAATGTCCCCCTTGGCGTAACATCTAAAATAAGGCTCAATTTATTGTAAAATGTCTTTCTGGGAGACATTCCCCTTGGCGTAACATCTAAAATAAGGCTCAATTTATTGTAAAATGTCCTCCTGGGAATGTCCCCCTTGGCGTAACATCTAAAATAAGGCTCAATTTATTGTAAAATGTCTTCCTGGGAGACATTCCCCTTGGCGTAACATCTAAAATAAGGCTCAATTTATTGTAAAATGTCCTCCTGGGAATGTCCCCCTTGGCGTAACATCTAAAATAAGGCTCAATTTATTGTAAAATGTCCTCCTGGGAGACATCCCCTTTGCGTAACACCTGAAATAAAGAAAAATTTTTCTTAAAAATCAAGAGTAAAAGTTATTTTTCTTAATTTTTAAAGAAAATAATTGCGATGAATCAGTCACGAATTAATTAATCGAATTATCCTTAAAAGTTTATTCTACTTAATCTTTATTTAGAATTATTTTCCTTATATCTAGACATAAATGAGTCCTTCTATATTTAATAGGAAAATTTTGGCATCGTATTCACATGTATTTCTGATGACTTTTATGAGGCCTTGTATTTAAATATAGCGTAAAGAAAATCTTTTTTTTTTTTTCACCTTATTAATACAGTAAACCCAATTCAAATACAAAATCTAAAGGTTATTAAATTAAGGAAAAATTCCTTAAAGAGGTAAACGAGTTCACGAATTAAAACAAGAAATAAAAAAATAAATAAAACATTTGTTTTCGGTTCTGCTTTAATGAAGCGTTGCCAGAGAGTGACATCAAGTGGTGTGACGTAACACGAAGAGGAACGTTATAGACGTCGGTGTTCGAACATAGCAGGCACATTTAACATTCTAACTTTGCAATGGACTCCAAAGAATTCGATATTGTGGTCTTCGGCGCTACAGGAATTACAGGAAAATATGTCTTTGAAGAACTCGCTAGTGTTGCTAAACAAGAAAATATTAAATATGCCCTAGCTGCTAGAAGCGAGAATAAATTGAAAGCTACGATAGAAGAATCCAAGAAATATATTCAATCTAAAGGTAAGTAGAAAAAATATATATAACCTAAATAAATTTAAAACATATTCTTACAATTCTTAAATCTATAGCCAGGATCTCCTAAAATAAGTATTGGAGCCCTATAGTACAAGTCGACCCCTCCCTATAACACTGTTGATTATTCCGTTTTATATGAATTCCATGTTGTACGAGTTACTTAGATTTTACAAATACGTGTGCCGTTCTGTGCCCGGCTCATGTATTTGTAAAATCTAAGTGACTCGTACAACATGGAATTCATATAAAACGGAATAATCAACAGTGTTATAGGGGGTCGACTGTAAATTATTATATTATATTAAACATGATAAATATTATTGTAGACGTATAAATTCTTACTGTCGTCCGTCCGTTCGTCCGTCTGTCTTTTCTTAATCTTGAGAATTAAGTTAGGGAAATAAAAACCGAGATAAGATATGGAAATCTTAGGTGTAGAAGACCCCGATTAATTATATAAGAATTTCAGATACAAAATGGAAGTCACGTTATATCAATTCAAAACTTTCCCCTGAAAGATGTTTGATAGATGACCTATTGTTAAAGGTAAAGTATGACGTACAGGGGCAAGACACTACTAATTTATTGTGATGATGTCACAATAAATAATTGCCCATTTAATTCTATCGCGGATAAAGAAATTTGAGTCTGTCCATAACGCTCACACTAGAAGGGAGGGAGGTGTTATCGGACAAACAAGGAGAAGGGGAAGAGTTGAACTTCAGTGGACATTTACAATATTATATTTATTTCAAAATATTCATTTCTAATCGCCCTTTGTATGTAGAATGGCATCAAAAATGGAGATTTTCTACATCTATTTCTAACCATTTCATTTAATTACATTATTTTTTTTTTAGGTGAAACAATAGACGATGTGCCTATTATCATTGCCGATATTAACGACGAAAATTCCATAATAGAAATGTGTAAAAGAACAAAAGTAATATTGAATTGCGCGGGACCCGTAAGTTTTTTTTTTTTTTTTTTTCTTACAGTTTCATCGAAATCTAATTTAAATGCAATTATTATAAATCTTTAAATATCTATATTTAGTACATCTTTCATGGAGAAATTATGATTAAGTCGTGTATTGATGCGGGAACACATCATATAGACGTGAGCGCGGAATCAATCGTAAGAATTTCTCGTTAGTTTCTTTTAAAAAAAAAATCTTTTTGTTTTTCGACTTGGATTATATCGGCAAATTTCATTTATTTCTATAGTATTTGGAAGAAATGCAATTGAAATATCACGAAGAAGCAATTCAGAAGGGTATATACGTACTTGGAGCGTGTGGTTTTAGTAGTATTCCTACCGAAATGGGTTTATCTCTGATTAAAAAGAAATTTCAAGGTATGATTTTATTATATAAAATGAAATATTTGTAAAATTTTATTTTTTTATTTCGTAGAAATTAAACTCTGTAAATTAAATAGAGATAATTCTATAATTAGTTTATATGTTAACCCGTTTAACGCCTGACCAACTACCTATAGCTGGCAGAGTGCAGATTCCTGTTTTCATCACAATAGGGCCTAATTTCCCTATTGTATCATACGCGTGAACACCTTTGGCAGTGTTTCATTGCCGCCGTATTCCACTAACTTGTAAGCCGAAATGGTTAACGTAATGAAATGGAAAGTTATCAAAAACGAGGAACAGAGAGGGAGGGAGGAAAAAATAAATAAAAAAGTAGAGTTCGCCGTCTGGGATTAGAACCCAGGACCTCTAGCTCAAGAGAGCAGGAGTCATACCACTAGACCGACGACTCTAGTACTCGTTAGTCGAGTGGACATGTATATGAGTGATGTAAATAGAAACGATAATTAATTAATTTCAAATTTTGTAGGCAAAAAAGGACAGGTATCACTACATTCAGATCATTCGTGTTAATGATTCCAAGTATTCTACTATAGTTATAAATGACAACAATGTTGTCACTTGTATGTACTGTACTTTTCTAATACTCGTACCATATCCTATATCTTATCGTTCTTGTGTTAATTATAATAATTGATATTCTTTTTTTTTTTCATTATTTTACCATCAATTATTTTCAATTACGTACAGTCAAACTTCTGAACAACGAACACTGTCGAGAAGATAAAAAAAATGGCCGTTGTTTGGAAGTTATTTTGTATGCACTTTTATTAAAGGAAAAAGTTCCTGAAAAGTGTGGCCGTAGTAGGATGTTACCTTTATTGAAAGTTTGGCCATTTATTTTTGAAAAAATGGAAGCATATAGAGAATGATTCAATAGATGGGATAAGGCAATACAACACGTGGACGATCTGCCAAGGGTGGAGGATTTTCTATGGGAAATTGGTTTCTGTTTACGTGTTAAACACACGAAAAAAATCCCGAAACTATACGTACCCATTGGTCAGGCTCGAACATGCGACAAATTACCAGTGTTCATTAGTGTTAAGCACTCAGTTACTAAGACAAAGAATGAAATCACAGCATCTGAAGCAGTTTAATCTAATTTACATAAATATTTACAATATATTTGAATGAACATTACATACTGGCAACAAATTTATTATAAAATCAATATTAAAATTCTGCTTTCTCCCTTTAGGAGATCTTAATTCTGTAGAAACATATCTACAGTTTCATGAAAATCCACAGGTTTGTATAATAATTCAGTTAATTTCATACATAAAATCCTTTAGAATTTTAATAATAATTAGTGATAAGGAATTTTCAGTATTCAATTAATAATACACTATAAACGATATTTTTTTAAGTTTATAATTAAAATAATACTTTTAAAAAATGTATATAAAAAAAATTGTACAAATTATATTCAAATTATTTTTTATATTATGCATAAAATTATTAATTATTTTAGGGAAGAATGGCTAATGCTGGAATTTTGAAATCCATGATATACAATTTCTTAAATCGAAATAAAATTGGAGATATCAGGAAACGATTGAATGATAAAATATTCAAAAAGTTTCCAAAATATTCTCATCTTTTGAAAAAAAGGTATGCTAATTAATTAATTTTTTTAATTCGAATTTATATTGTAAAATAAATTATTTTACACAGGGTGTGACAGATAGTGAAGTAGAGTCAGAGTCAGTTTCCAAATATGATGCCTATTCTCATAGTTATAAAAAGATAAAAATGATCAAACAAAAGGAAAATTTTTTACTGTCTATCAGAAAAAAAAACCTTTAATTTATTTCCATATCGTGCTATTTTACGTTAAATACAAGGCTGTGGAGTCGGAGTCGGTAGATTTTTACACGACTCCACAGCGCTGGTTAAATATTAAAATTTGGGGTTCTTCGGTGCCCGTAACACGTTCAAATAGTTCATCTGATACCTGCTGTAGATCTTTCTGATGGTTTGATGGCAAGACGGATAACCGTTCCGGGGATCCGGGTTCGAATCCGGGTTGTCGAAAGGTTTCATGAACAATAAATCCTAGATATGTCGATCCCTCCGGCTATCCCGGATATGAAAAAAAGACCCTATTAATGCCCAGAAAGATCGAAACAGAAATGATAATTTAGATATAATGAAATGACTATGACCAAAACATAATTTCCGATAAATAATTTACTTTGGCAAATATTTATTATATACGATAGAAGTTCGTTAATCTGGCAGCTGTAGAACGACAGTGATGCCGGATTATCGAAAGTTTTTTGTGTTTTCGTTAAGTTATATGTAATCCGAACACATTGTATACAGTATTTTGTACCAACGCACGCTGCTGTATGCTTCTAATTTATTTACGTATTCCCCCTTATTAAGGAACACGTTATTATCTTTTACAGCATCACGTGTTGAAATAAATTCAGATTCGCTAAATACTAGAATGCCGGATTATTATTGGTACTCTTCAGAGAGTGCCGGATTAACGAACTACTATTGTAATTATATTTTAAATTTCTTTTGTGTTAAATTAATATTTAATTATTGTTACATATTACAGACCTATTGCTTTTAAAAGCGAAGTGACAAATCGATGGTGTTTACCTTATCCGGCGTGCGATAAAACGGTTGCAATCCGAAGCCAACTTTTTAATTATAATTATAAGAATGAAAGAGCAGTAATATATTCGTTATATTTATATTTAAAAATTAATAAAATTACATAATTAAGCATTAATACAATTTTATCTTTTAGGTGCAAATAAATACTTATTTCATGTCTACTNGGTTGCAATCCGAAGCCAACTTTTTAATTATAATTATAAGAATGAAAGAGCAGTAATATATTCGTTATATTTATATTTAAAAATTAATAAAATTATATAATTAAGCATTAATACAATTTTATCTTTTAGGTGCAAATAAATACTTATTTCATGTCTACTTTCTTCAACTTTTTCCTCACCATTATAATGGCATTTATATTTTTCGTCTTTTTAAACTTTAAATTAGGCAGACAACTCTTAAAATCTGTAAGTATTTACTAAATAATTCTTTAAATAAATATCTTCAATCTGTATAAGCTGATACTAAAGTATAAAGCTTGGTAAACAATCGTTCTATTTTACTTTCTGCTTATAAAGGGTGTCCATAAGTCACTTGCCACAGAGATTCGAACCAATAATCTAATCATTCCATGCACTTTGCAAGATGTCAGGGATTATCCACGGATCCAGTCCAAACTTTCTGACTAATTGTGCAATGGTGGCCTGAGAAATTGATTCTGGTTGGATGTTTGCACGGATCCAGGGATTATCAGGGATTATCAGGGATTATCCACGGATCCAGTCCAAACTTTCTGACTAATTGTGCAATGGTGGCCTGAGAAATTGATTCTGGTTGGATGTTTGCACGGATCCAGGGATTATCAGGGATTATCAGGGATTATCCACGGATCCAGTCCAAACTTTCTGACTAATTGTGCAATGGTGGCCTGAGAAATTGATTCTGGTTGGATGTTTGCACGGATCCAGGGATTATCAGGGATTATCAGGGATTATCCACGGATCCAGTCCAAACTTTCTGACTAATTGTGCAATGGTGGCCTGAGAAATTGATTCTGGTTGGATGTTTGCAATTGAACTCTGCCACTTCCCTGTTACTGCGCTAGCCAATCATTATAATAATCTCGATGCTTTCGTCTTGCAACAACATTGTCCTGAAAGAGAAAAACCCATTACGACACGTGACTTATAGGCCTACTATTGATGGCTCAAAAGTCTGTTAACAGATCTTTTTAAAGCTGTATCCATGATTGTATCATGGATAATAATGTGCAACTATTCTTAAGATAGATCGATCTTAAAACACAGGCTGATTATAATGTCCCGATCCGTTTTTGTGAAAATGGTAACTAAATCATTTGTATGTGGATCGTGTGAAATATGATGATCCAAGAAGAGAGAATCGCTGTTATTTGCGCATGTTTTAATGGATTAACGTACACAGAAGTACAGACAAACGTCACCCAGAAATTCAAGGGGTCTGCTTCTTCCGAGGCCAATATCAAACTATCTGTTACCAAATTCAGGCGAACGGGTAATGTACACGATGTACTGTACAACGTTCCGGGAGACCCACCATACCGGACGAAACGGTTCAACGTGAAGAAACTGCAATAACAGAGTCGACTTCATCTTCCAAAAGAATAAGCTGGGTGCTCATTGTGCCACAACTGCACCTCCAAGTATGAAAGAACCTTCATTACAAACTCATAAAACGTGTAATGTGTCCGGATGTTACATAAGCTGTAAGAAGGAGAGGATTATGCCACCCGCTAAGAAATGAGTCACGATCTCTCGAAGGCTATGGAACAAGATGATTTGATGGTACTACTTCCGTGTATGTTAATCCATTCACAAACCATAACGATTCTCTTTTCTTTTTTTAGGACAGCATGCTTCACACGACTTACAAAAATGGATCGAGATTTTATAATGACCCAATAAATCTGTCACGGATGACTTTTGAGCCATTAAGTTTCATCTGGAGTAGCTGGAATAATATTTCATATAAAATGATTTGAAACAATTTGATAATGTTATAAGTACTTTAGTATGGCTTCATTTTATAACGTAAATACAGTACTTTAAATATAAAACAAACACATTTCACATTATTAAAAAAATTTGATTATTTTATTATAGTATCCAAAAGTATTTAGTCTTGGATTATTTCAAGAAGGTGGTCCAACTAGACAACAGGTGCATTCAAATTATTTAAAATTGCATTATTTTTTTTCTCTATTATTTTACATGAATTTATATAAAATAATATTATTTTATAGTTGAAAGAATCTACTTTTAATATTATATATTGGGCAGAGGGTTGGAATGATAAACTGGAAATCGATCAGAATCATACGGAACCTCCAAACAAATTCATGAAAGTAGTTTTAAATGCTCCCAGTTAGTACTGTTTATACACGCTTAAAATTATACTGTGTTTTATTTACATAATTAATAATACAATTTTATAGATGCAGCATTTCTTACAACATCCCTTTGCATGGTGCAAGCAGGTATTGTTTGCTTGAAAGAAACTGAAAATATGCCTGGAAGGTGAAGTAAAATTTTTGATTTTTGATTTTAGAAGATAATTAATTTCTTCAAATAATTGTGAATTATTTTATTTAAAGTGGAGGGGTTTTAACACCAGGAGCTGCTTTCGAAAACACTTCGCTATTAGAACGTTTGCAAAAATTCGGAATGGAGTTTAGTATTATGGAGAAATGATCTGTTCAAAGATCATAATTTGCATACAGCAATTCACGACATTGCTGATCTTTTTTTCTTTATATTTTATGGTAAATTTGTATATTATTGTAATATTAGGCTATATAGAATTTGAAATTTTACATCTCTTTGAATAAAAGACATATTATGACAATAAAATGTACTGTACAATAAATATATTCTGAATTGTGTGTCAAAATTGGTTGATCAGTTAATTATAAAAGTTTATACCATCTTGTATGACAATTTGCTTAAATTGCCATGTAAACTTTTATCTTTTTTTTACGTTTTCAATGCAGATACATCCCTGGTTCTTTGGCGTATTTTACTAGGATGGTTAAGGATTTACTTGTCCTGATTCACAAGGATGTTTTCTGATTTTTGAGAAGGGGGTCTGTTTGCTGATCTTGTTTGATACTTGTTCAAGTTTGCCACTTGAACCTATCGTTTGTTAGAGGAATCGAATAAAATTTCGGGGTTATTCTATCCCTCAGTATTCGAAGAGCATCGTCTGAGGGCCTTAAAAAAAAATTAGAAATCTTCGAAGCAAGTTTAACACGCCCATTGCCATTTCATAAAGCTGACCGTGTCGACAGCATATTCTCTTTGGCGTAGGCCTATATACATTTTTACTCTCTTTTTAATTACTAACAAGTAAGACATAAAGTCTCAACTCCGACTCAAAATCAAGGAGAGAAAGCAACTATAGTCTACTTGAAATTGTCACTTTGTTTTACCGAATTGGTATACGTGATTCCAAAAACGTCTGTTCAGCAGTGATGCTATGATGACCGGTGTTCGTGATCATGAAAGTAATGTGATAATTCCCTAAACAGGGATAATCAATTTCAGCATAAATTCCAGAAAGGGAGAACAAAAAATAAAATAACATCGCGCAGTCGACAGGATTCGAACCTGTGCGGGAAAAACCCAACGGATTTCTAGTCCGTCGCCTTAACCACTCGGCCACGACTGCGAAATTTTTAATTTTTTATTCCACTTATATTGGCTGCATATGTAAATCGACTTGTTAATTATTATTATTATTAATTAATTAAAAAATAAATTTACGAAACAAGAGTAATTAAATAAACAAATGACGGCGAGAACAGATAGTAATAATGACAATGACCTTTAGCTTGCTATGGGCATCGACAAACGCAATATTCGTCGTGTCGTATCTAGTGAAACAAGTTGTTTCTTCTAAAATCATTTTTAATTAATCCAAACATTAATTTTAAACTAAAGGAACTCATTAATAACATTTTTATTGTCTTAATTATTTCTATCTGTAAAAAGTAAGTTATAGAAGTTTTTATCAAGAGACAAATACGTATAGAAAGGATGTGTTCTAATTGGTTACGTTTGCATTACGTCCTGCTCACTCATTTGTCACCAGTTTCGAATGGGCGGTTTCCTACAAGCGAACGAAGACGATTTGACATCGTCTGTAGATAGAAACGCCTCCCTGCCAATTGATTGGATGCACATCGGATTCCGAACCTGAAAGGCGGAGACTTTCAAACAAAAGAATTTCATCTTATAGAAATATCATCTGATTGGTCAAAATTTAAGAATTAAAAATAATTTTACGTATTTTTTACTTCTCTGATATCTGATTAGACGTATTACACGAAAAAAAGGTTCATTATTATTATCGTCATTTTTGTTTTTTTTTTCTTTCTTCTTTTCTTTATTTAATCGAAAAGCAAGAAATATCTCAGGCTTTGACACTTTTTCTTCTTTATCGTTTAAAATTAGACTACATTATCATCGTTTATTATTATATTTTGTCATCATTCATTAGACAAAGTAAATATTTAATTAATAATGTCTATAAATATTACAGTTTATTAAGGGCCGGATTGTATCTTGTTAATCTGGCCCTTAATAATAACCCAGCTTCTTAATTATCCGGCGTACTCCCATTATTTATGTTTTTATTTATTTATTCGTTCTTAGCACTTACAATTTTTACATATGTATAGGCTATAGCCTATACCGAACCAATCTTTCCCATAAGAAGTAATGTAAAAATGATTAATCCGTTCTCATGTTTAAAAAAAAAAATGGCTGGCTTGAAACACCTCGCTTTCCTGGCTAGTTCCTGCTTGATTTTTCACGAGATCAGCATGTATCTTTTTAGCTTTCTCGCAACTAAATGGTTGTGATACGCTGTCTCTAGCACACTGTTTTTTAGCTATCCAAAGCAAAAGCAATTTCTCAACATGATCTAATGTCTTCGATCTCTGTTTAGAAATTGTTTTAACCCCTTTCGCAACGTTAGCAGATTTAATAATGTCTTCATTTTTCACGATTGTCGAATACGGTATGCAACAGTTAAAATCTCAAACACTCATGCCACCTCCATATTTCTCAAAATCTCTTTTTTCAGTTCCATTGTGATTCTAGTCATTTTTTTTTCTTTTTTAGTTTTCTGTTGCTTTTCATTTGCCTTTTTGCAATTCATGATTAATAAAAATAATAAAATTTTACTTACAAATTAAAATCAGAAGAAATTTAACAAAGTTATAAACTGTGGTACCGCGAACGTCTAATCTGGTCTAGTATACCGATAGTGCTACTTGTTCATAGATGGCGCGTATAATTGAATTAAGTCGTATACCGAATAAAAGTCGTATACCGAACAAAATTTGTTTCTTCCAAACAAGACGTATTCCGAATTTGACGTATTCTAAAGCAGACGTATACCGAGGTACCACTGTACTTAACTTTTTTCGAACTTAACATGCGAGCTAATAGTGTTCATAAATAGTTACTTCAAGCTAATCATATACGTGACCAATCTACACACTGGTAGATTGGTACAAAACTTTTTCCGGGAAGTTGAAGAATTTTAAATCTTTCATCTACTAACCAAAAGACAAATAAGACAAATGTCTATAGCCCGTAATTCGGAAAGGCCCAGCTTCTTATATATATTTTTTGTATATTCATTCAGAAACTTTTTTTATTATATAATTAATATTGTATTAGTGCTTATATTCTCTATTATTAGTAAAAGTTTTAAATGACATTATTTAAGATTTCTTTAGAAGCAACTTATTTAAATGGGGCCCAATTTAAATTTTGTCTAGGGCCCGCAAGAGGGTTAATCGACACCGCTCCCACAAGCAAAACATGCAACCTGACAACAAAGACTTTACATGCTTGTTTCATGTCTCTCACGCCTGTGAGAGACATGGAACAAGCATGTAAAGAATTGGATGCCTCTCAAACCTGTGAGAGACATCCAATTCTTATTCTACTGTCACTGAAATTTCTACGTTTTCTTTTCGGACAGATGTAACCTTGACCAAGAGATGAAGATACAACCTGGCACCAAGATCACTTTATATGTTTGGTGCCTATTGTCAAGAAACGCGCGAGTTGATGTACTGACTTGTACTGAACAATTGTTTTATTTTTCTTTCCGATTTGCCTTCACCATCTATTTATTCGTGTGGACAGAGCAGTTGCTGCTATGGCACTGTCGCAAATGACGTCACGATTCACGGACAGACACGCGGAACAAACTCGCGAGTGGTGTGCTTGGTGCCACCAATTTCCACAGCCATTTGACATTAAACAGTCGCCTGTCTGCACGAATGTTTCCCGACCAAGCGTCGTCACCGTCCAATGATTGGAATTGACAGCTATGGTCAATACACGGGAGGTACTAAGGTACTAGTTTAATGCCCCAGTTAATTGCCTTTTTTTGCTCATAAAATAATGCATCACCGTATGAAAGTCCCTTACATTTCCCACTGAGAGAGAATCCTGTATACAATATATACTATTTACAGGGTGATGCAAGACATATTTTATTAAACTTGACTTTTGGATGTATACAATCAATGGCCAGGAATTTTCTTATGGACTGTGCATTATTGAAGGATAACATATACAAAATGTACTGTAACGTATACATTATTTCTGCTCTGTAAATTTAATATACTATAGAACATTGAAGAAAATATTAAACCATTTTATTTCACCAGAGATAATTTTTATTTATATTTTCTATTGAATTGGAATAGCACAGTGAAACAGTCTGTGATTATTTCTCTATAATACTAAACTCCATTCCTGACTTTTGTAACCGTTCTAATAGAGAAGTATCTTCAAAAGCAGCTGCCGGAGTTAAGACACCACCACTAAAAATAAACTTACAGAAATTAAAAGATAAAAAGTAAATTTAAATTATATTGTCTTCTTACCTTCCGGGCATTTTCTCATTTTCTTTCAAACACACAACACCAGCATTGACTAAACAGAGTGATGTAGTAATGTATACTGGATCTATAAAAAAAAAACAACAATGTAATTGAAATTCAATATTAAATTTTAAAAGAACAAAAGTAAACACTAACCAGATGCAGTTAAAATTACTTTCATATTCTTATTGGGTGGTTCTGTATGTTGTTTGTTAACATCCAGTTTATCCTTCCATCCTTCAGCCCAAAACACAGTAGTGAAGGATGCTTCCTTAATGTATTACAATAAGAGGATATTTAGAAAGACGTTATAGTAAAAAAAATATATTAAACGAAATGAATTACTTCTTTTCTTGTTGGACCATCTTTTTTAAAAATCCCAAAAGAAAACAATTGTGGATACTGAAATTTTTTTTAAGTAAAATTAAATTGATTAGAATTAAATTCATTTAAATATTCATTCTTAAAATGGGATATTGATAGTCAAAATGTTATTATTTCTCATAATTAATATGGCTATAATATAATCATTTGTACTAATGGTAGGTGATTATTAAATAATTACAAAATGCTACTTAATTAGAATAAAGTCGTTTAACTAGCTTAATAAAAACTAAGTAGATTATACAATTACAAATTACCAATTAATAATAAACATAATTATTCTAGGGTATCAAATAAATTCTTTCATCCTAGTGTCTTTACATTTAATTTGTTGAATCATGCATTATGATTTTAGATATACAGTCGACCCCCCCCCTATAACACTGTTGATTATTCCGTTTTATATGAATTCCATGTTGTACGAGTCACTTAGATTTTACAAATACGTGTGCCGGGTTGCGAAAGGCTCATGTATTTGTAAAATCTAATTGACTCGTACAACATGGAATTCATATAAAACGGAATAATCAACAGTGTTATAGGGGTATCGACTTATAGTTTACTGTATAAATGAATGTTTAACACTATAAATTTTTTTAACTATCGTATTTTGTATAAAATTTTATATTACTTACAGAAATCAAGAGTTTTCTGCCATACTTGAAACGTGAAATAATAAAAAGTATCATTATCCCCAATATAAGAGAAAATACCTCAAATAATGATAATACAATATACGTTTGTATCTGTACCTGAATATGAAATTGGTTATATTATATGAAGTTTTAAAATCTTCATCAAATTTTATTAATTAAAATTAAGATATTAATTACCGGTCTTTCGTTTTTATAATTGTAATTAAAAAGTTGACTTCGGATTGTGACTGTTTTATCACCTCCAGGAAAGGGTCCGCACCATTTATTTATAATGTCACTTTTAAAGACAAAAGGTCTGAAAAAAAATATTAAAAAAAATGAAATTTATTGGAAAGTAAGTGATAAATTTTATACTGAATAATTACTACGTATTATTACTTATTATTATTATTATATTGAAAGTAATAAGATTTGTTCATCAAACTTTCGGGCCCACCAGAGCGGTCTTCGTACCCTGAACACTGGGAGTTCGGTTGTGGGTTCGATCCTCGCTCGGACGAGTTGACCACATGAAGTTTTCCGGGTTTTCTCCACGTCTGTAACACCTAAATAGGGGCCCTTAAAAAGTCCTACCTGAAGGCAAATCGCCTCTAACTTGTAAGTGTTGCGTTGCCATAACCAAACAATACTCACGAGAAAAAATTTATAGGTGTTAGAAGGTGGGAAACGAGGTGGTCGTGCCATTGGTGCATTCCGACCAATCCACAGTCCCGAGAATTTGAGAACTTCTGGTGCGAAATGAAACTTGACCTATATGGCCAAATTTTTTCATATCCTTTTTTCTTATTTTCCAAGCATATATTACTTTCCCGGGCGTTATATATAACAGAGGAAAAGTTTGGCGATACGTCAAAAACTGACTCCCCCCCAAGATATTTTGTTAAAACAGGGTAATTTCTGTATGTATGAATGTATGAATGTTATTGGGTGTGGGGGAACGATTTTGTCCATCCTCTTTGAAGCTTAATAACTCCCGTGCTTTTTGTCAAAATTTTCTGAAATTTTGCAGGGAGGTTTGTTTATTAAGGGGTTGATACTGTTAAATTTTGATAATTAAAGATCGAAGGGGTGGGAAAGATAAAGGGGTCGTGTGTATCTCCAGTATGGTCGGATTTAATGACGATTTTATTCGTTATTACCATTTACAATTTCTTTTATAAAACCCATTCCTAACCACAAAATTAAGTTTTTTTGTCATTTTATAATATTTAAAAAAACTTTTTTTATATTTTTAAATAAAATATCAATAGATGGCGTCAACAAATGTTGCCGGGAAAGTTCAGCAACTCGTTGCTGAAATATTTAGCTATTTATTACTTTAGTAGTCTATATAACTTTTTAATATACCACAAAGAACTCCGGTCAACGTGGCTTTGCTTTTACAGTAACACATTTTCGGATGCCATCTTACCCATCGACTACCCCTTTTCTCTTATCACATACAATATGGCTGGGTTTCGAGGTTAAAACATTGGGTTACAAGTAGCAGATTAAGATATTTGCAGTGTTCTATCGAGGCCTCGGTTCTATTCCATGGAGCTATAATACTGGAGCGACAGCCCCTGAAAAATCAAGTGGAGCCAGTACAGTCGACCCCCTATAACACTGTTGATTTTTCCGTTTTATATGAATTCCATGTTGTACGAGTCATTTAGATTTTACAAATACGTGAGCCGTTCACAGCCCGGCACACGTATTTGTAAAATCTAAGTGACTCGTACAACATGGAATTCATATAAAACGGAAAAATCAACAGTGTTATAGGGGGTCGACTGTANAATACAGTCGACCCCCGTATAAGATCATTGATTATTCCGTTTTATATGAATTCCATGTTGTACGAGTCACTTAAATTTTACAAATACGTGAGCCGTTCACAGCCCGGTACATGTATTTGTAAAATCTAAGTGACTCGTACAACATGGACTTCATATAAAACGGAATAATTAATGATCTTATAGGGGGATCGACTGTAATTATGATGATGTGATGCTAATGATAATTCGACTATTTATGCAATATTTAAAAGAAGAATTTCAAAGTAACGTAGTAGTATTATTTGCCGTGTCATGTCGTAAATGTAATGCACGTGGACTTCAACCTGTACCAAATACTGCAGAAAATGAAAATCTTATTAATAATATTTAGGCTTTCAGCTTAAGAAAACATGTTTATTTGTATTAATTCTCAATATAACGATTGTTACTTATACATGACAGTGCTGAACAGTCGACCCCACTATGACTGTTGATAATTTCGTTTTATATGAATTCCATGTTGTACGAGTCACTTAGATTTTACAAATACGTGAGCCGTTCATAGCCCGGCACACGTATTTGTAAAATCTAAGTGACTCGTACAACACGGGATTCATATAAAACGAAATAATCAACAGTGTTATAGGGGTGTCGACTGTATTATCATCATACCTTTTTGATAGAGGATGTGAGAATTGTGGCCTTTTCTTAAAAATAGTCTTATTTAATTGTTTTCTAACTTTTTTAGCTTTATTCAAAGTCGTTATTCCATAAACAGCAGAGTTCCATGTTCCTGAATTAAAAGTTGTATCCTAAAAATTATTATATATACCTTTAAAATCTCTACATTTATTTTACATATGTAAATTAAATTTAGAAATTGTGTTAACTACATATAAAAGTAAAGAAATATTCACCATTAGTCTTTTATTAAGTTGCAGATATGTTTCTACAGAATTAAGATCACCTGAAATAAGAAAAATTGATAATCAAGATGAAAGATTTTCTTTTCATAAATACACATTAATAAAATGAATATTGATATTTAAATGTTGTATATTTATATATAAAATGATTTAAGTTAAAATTATATTCAATTAGATTATATATATAAATACCTGGAAATATTTTTTTAACTAGAGATACTCCCAAATCACAAGGAATGCTACTAAATCCACATGCTCCAATTATATAAATTCCTTTTTGAATTGCTTCTTCATGATATTTCAATTGCATCCCTTCAAGAAACTAAAAGCTCTAGTGTTTAATAAACCATTTCCATAATAATAATAATAATAATAATAAATAAACTATTAATTCATAACATTAGATTTACCTGTGGTTCTGCACTAAAATCCAAATGATGAGTTTCAGCAGCCAGGCATGCTTTAATGACACTTTCTCCATATAAATAGTACTAAATTTCATTTTAAAAAAGGATTTAACTGACATTAACACAATAATCTATAACGTAGATTTAAATTTAAACCCGTCAGATTATAATCACGGATAATGTTATCAATCGGATTATGTTATCGGTCGGATATTGTTATCTTAATCAATCAGTCCGTAAACATTCTATGTATAATTAGTTAAAAGGAATCCGCTTAGTATAAGTCAAACTTCGGCTATTGTTATCAATTGTGATAATTACACTCGGGGACAAACTATAAGAATTCTTAGAAAATACGTGTACTTGTAAAGATCTTTACTTGAAACTTACACTGGGAAATGAACATTCCTGCTGTGATTTTTCTACTTTAATTCTGTTGAATATGAATAAGTAATGCTGTATTAAGTGTACATTTTGTGATAAATATAAATTGTACACATTTATAAATTGAGTTCAATAATAATAATAATAATTTTTTTCTTCGGTTTAATGTTATCGTCAGCCTGTTATTGTTATCAAAAGTTGCGAGTCCCAAAGTGATCATAATAAGCGAATTTCGCTGTATTACGCACGATAGTTATCATGTATATATATAAATTAAGTAATTAATTTTTGTTTTTATGATATAGTTTACATTGATTAGCCTTGCGGTAGGTTTTTAAACACATTTGCACTTCAGATTATTGATTAAAATATTTATTTCAATTTTAATATACAGTGATACCTTTCCATTATTTCTAATAGAGAAAATTGATTCAGACTTTAACGACTTCCAGGAATGAACTAAATTAGAAGCATGAGATGCCACTGTATGTGTCAAATATATATATATATATATATAGGAAGGCTCAGAGCAGAACTCGAACCCGCATCCCCTGCTTACCACGCATATGATTACTAATTATGCTATCCAGAAGTAATAATTCTATACGGTAAGCAGATGATGGAGGATATTCAAGTCCCTCTCCGGGCCATCTCTTTTACCAAATACTCTAAAAAATTCTCGTGATTAAAACTTACTGGTCCTACACAATTTAAAAGAACTTTGGTCTTCTTACACATTTCTAACAGTGAATTTTCATCACTAACATCAGCAATAATAATGGGTATATCTGCATTTATCGTTTTACCTACAAGGACAAAGGTTTAATTAATTAATATAAAGGGCTCATTAAAAATAAATAAATAGCAGCTAGTAATTTAGGAAACAATTTGTAAAAAATTAATTAATATAAATCATTATAAATGTGTTTTTTTCTTCCTTCAAAAATTGTTTATTGTTTACGGAAATTTCGTTATGTGAAGGAAGGAAAAATGATTTCAAGGACAAAGTAACTAATTATTACTTCCAATTAAAATGGCTGAAGGTATTTTACATTAAAAATACATGGTAGAAACTAAAAGGTCTTTCATACCTCTGTATAATCAACAAGAACAGTTCCTTTTCAGATAGAGGCAACAACTTTTTTTATTTTATTTATTTAACAAAAGACAACAGCCGTACACAATGTGTTTTAGCCGGCGGAAGAAGAAGGGAAGGAAAGAGGGGAATGAAAGGAGGAGGGCGAAAGAGATAGAAAGAAGAGCTGTGTTGTGTGTATCATGGAGGTGAGAGAGACCACAAGGGCTTTGCTGAGGGATATGAATGAAAGTACCGCTGTTATTAAGTTAAAGTTGTTATTGTTAAAGCTATTCGTAATGTTCGTGTATCTATTGTAATGGAAAATTAAGTGGATTGGTGTTTGATCCTCGTGCAGTGTGGCCCGTCCCCTATGCAGATATTGCCGTTGCCTGTAAGAAATTGAGAGAGAGTAAAGTGACGAAAAGTCGCAATAGTGTCAACTCTGGTAATAAGTGTGTAGGTGCATCTACCATAGTGTCGTGGTCTCAATTGTCTTGCAAGAGAATGGTAATTTGTTTTTTGACGCGTACGTCGAGGTAAGAAGTGGGAATATAACTGAAAGTGACTGTAGACTTAGCAGCCGATTTGGCAAGACCCATTGAAAATCTACTCTAATGTTGTTATATTAAGTGCCTGAGGATGTGATTTAAGAGATGCACAAGTTTAATACGGCTACCCTATCATCCCGGCATGTGCGCTAGTATGAAAAAATGTCTTTTGTCCTGTCTACATATAATATGGATCAAACTAGTATAACCCGAGCAATTGAACAGTGTGGACCTAATTTGAGCACACTTGAGTAAGCTCTTGTATATTACGAATTACTTGTTAAAGATTAAAACAAATACAGTAAAACCTGTGTAAATCTATACAGTATATATATTATTGATAAGATTTGTCTCTATACATACCGACAGACTGCAGATACTTTCTTGACTTTTCCATTACAGATTTTAACTTGTTTTCGTTTCTAGCGGCTAAAGCAAATTTCACGTTTTCGGCTTTAGAGATTCGCGTTAATTCTTCGAACACATATTGACCCGTAAAACCCGTAGCACCAAAAACAATTATATCAAATTCACGTGAAGACATCTTCACACCCGAACGACAAATACCAGATTTTGCAGAAGCAAGGCCGATTGCGTACCAGAAGCGTCAATTTACCTCACTAATATTTCATTGTTTCAGTAGTGCCGATGATAAGTGGGACATCCTGTATGTGTGTATATGTATATAATATATATATATATAGAGAGAGAGAGAGAGGAAAAAAAGGGGCATCGTGCATTACTGAAGGATGTTCAAAGGTTGGATCAACGATCCCACAAGATGGCTCTGGTTACACCCGGGGGGGGGCTAACTTGAAAACAAGGAATGGGGGTTTTGGTCAACATACCAAGAAATCGCATTAGTCGTTCATTAATTTCTTTTATATTTTCAGAATAGGCTAGAAGTCGCGAATTTTCTTTTGGGGATTAGGAAAAGGGCATCCGAGACGAAGAGGGTGGGCACGGGCCCCAAGTACCCTCTGTTTATATATATATATATATTTTTTTTTCATGATTTTATGTAATGAAATATAATAATTGGGGTTTTTTTTAATACAGGGAAACACCGGAAATGGATGTTGGTAATTTCAGTGGTTTGTTTATTGTTGATTAATTAATTAAGTTATGGCAACGCGATCTGCCTAGGGGATGCCTTCTGGGTAGTCTTTTTAAAGGTAATTGGCCCTTATTCAGGCATTACAGACGTGGAGAAAACCCGGAAAACTCCACGTAGCCAGTCCTTCTGGCGAGGCGCGAGCCCACGAACAAACTCCAAGTGTTCAGGGAATGGAACCGATTGGCCAATGGTGGGCCGATTTCAACGGTAATTGCGTTGTTCTAACATTCATTCGGAATTCGTAATTTCTTAATTTTAATGTATGATTAAGGGTTTTTTTTTATTTTGGTTTAAATGTACTGATTGTGTAAATTATATTTTGAATCGTTGTGTTTCTTTGTGACTTGAACTTGAATTTCGGTGGTTTTGTTTAAAACTCTTTCCGCTTTGTGGACACTAAGAGTGCCACTTTCAGCAAGCCCATTAAGGGTCATACCTCCCCATTGTGAGCCAGGCCCACAATGGGGCGGCTGGGTGATGAGAGACGGGGCCCGACATATCTGGACAGAGCACCCCCGAAAAATTCCTGGGGATTTTTCGACCCGTTCGGATTCGATTCTGGGTCCTCCAAAGCGGTACGCTGCCACCTTGACCGCTTGGCCATCCGGCCGCTGAATTTCGGTGTTACAGGAGTTTAGGGATCCCTCAGTGACCAAGCGGTTCCGTTCCCTGAAAATCAGGTCGTGTTTTCGGCAGGAGAGACTGGCCATGTGGAGTTTTCCAGGTTTTCTCCACGTCTGTAACACCTAAATAAGAGCCAGTTACCCTTAAAAAGTCCTCCTGGAAGGCATTTCCCTAGGCGATCGCCTAAGTGTTGCGTTACCATAACTAAGCAAAGTAACTTATAACAATGAATAAATTATACAATTTTTAAGCAATTATTCACTCTCAAAACAAGGAAAATTTATTCTATACAATCAATTATTTTCAAATTATTAATCACTTACGAAGGCCAGCCGGATGACTGTCCAAGGCAGTTCAGATCTGAAATTATCTATTTATTATTTTCTAAGGGTACAATCGTTTCGAAATTATCATCCGACGCCATTAAAGAATTAAAGCTACTTACAGATTTTCTTCATATAAATGAATAATGAATAATAATACCTATAGAATCGAAGGACCGTGTTTCACACGAAGTATATTTGTTAATGGAGGGTTAAAATTGATACCAGTGACTCAGAATGATTCTACTTACATTCATGTATGTGATTTCTTCATTTAAGGTTGTCAGGCATTAAATTCGAGGAATGAAAGAAAATTCTGGCTAAGGTCCTGAAATTATGAGAGAATTTTATTATTCATTGTCACTGGCCAGATTGAAGCTGGTGTTTCCAATTCAAAAACAACGTTGAACAAGTTCAAACTAAAATGAAATTATCTTCCAAAATATTGCAAATTGAAGAATAAATACAGTCGACCCCCTTATAACACTGTTGATTATTCTGTTTTATATGAGTTCCATGTTGTACGAGTCACTTAGATTTTACAAATACGTGTGCCGGGCTGTGAACGGCTCACATATTTGTAAAATGTAAGTGACAATTGCAATTAACTCTGCTCACTAGAAGTAATAGTAAATGGTAAAATTGCTGTTGTTCAGGTTTCCCCTAAGAAGGCAAAAATGTGTTTGACAGCCAAAAATTACATGTTGACGTAATTTGTTACATTTTTAAAAACATTCCCGCATGTAAGTAATACAAAGTTTCTTAATTTTTTGATTTCTTCCACCCGTAGAGAATTCTTTTAGCTTCAGGTGACTGTAAAAAATCTTTTATTAATACTATTGGAGTTTAAACAAGACTTCAAATGGCATCTTGGGGCAAAATGGTGTTATTTTGTTGTCTCTCTTTTGTCACTGAATGACATTACTGCAGATATTTGTATTCTGTTTTGGATATGTGTGATCTGTCAATAATCGGCAATTGCTCGTGCGCTGATGAAAATGGGAACTATGAAGTTCACAGCAATTTTGCATTATGTCTTCAAGAAAATAAATTTCTATAGAATAAATAAAAAATCCTGTAATAAACCTTAAATATTGTTTCATTGCTAATTTGTTGTATTTTTAATCTTTGATTTATGACTGTATGCAAGTGTGTTCATCATCTGGAACTTAAAAATCTCCATTCAATTTTAATTCTAAAATAAACAGAAAAAATCCTTTGTTAGAAAACAGCTGCTACATACACTCAAGTAATATTTAAGATGACTTGTTTTTTTTACAACTTAGACATTTGAATGTGTGTAGGCAATGGTCACTTGTTCCAACTTTATCCTGCAATTAAAACAGGAAAAAAAAATTTGAATTCAACGTTTGATGACTTGTTTGTAACATGTATGATTGTGAAGCTTCAGAAGTGGGCCTAAAATTTGTGCAAAAAAAAGAAAATTTTTTCTAATTTTTGTATAGAAGAAAATAATAATAATAATAATAATAATTATTTTATATTGTAAAAAGAAACCATCCAACGCAAAATGAATATTTTATGCCCATATAAAGACATATCTGTAGAAATTTCTAAATAAATAAATAAATAAATTTCTCAGAATGAAACAATAGATGAATTTGAGTGCTTAGATCGAACATCTTCAATAGGAATCAAATCGTCAGTCGAAGTTGACTCATCCCACGATCTGGGCTCCGATCTCATTACAATTCGTTACGAGGAGGGGGACCAATTAGAGAGCAGGGGCAAGTCGACATCGACCTATCGGAATGTTCGGTCTGGGACCCAAAAGAAACTTATAAAAACCACGCAAAAAAAGGATGTGACATTCTTAGTTCGGTGTGCTCCGCTCCTGGATTTTTCCTGCGGTTCAACAACGGAAACTTGGTCATCGTTCCATAAGAAGTTTTCGCCATCCCGTCCCGGCAAGTTTCGCCAAGTGTAACCTGCTACAAGAATCACCCCTTCAAGTAGTGCTGTGTGCCCCGGAGCCTACGTTTTCCTCATCATCTTCACCAGAAGGAGAGAAGATCGTCGAAACGATTGAACTTTATTTACAAACTGATTCACTCTTCGGATAGGCCTTATGCCGAAGTAAAACAGTAGTTGTAAGCAAAATTTTTATACTTAATAAACTGTTTGCGATGGAGAACCTGTCTCAATAGGTTTTTCCACTCCCACACAACAGTGCTGACCGTTCAATTGTCATGACACTTTCTCCCCAATCGGCAAACCTCACATGATTGAGCTTATTTCAATATGGAACAGTTTTTGTATGTTGTTTAATTGAAAAAGTCTAATAATAAAATATTATTCGTCAAAATTTTAAAATTCTGTAGATAAATCAGAAAGGACAATTGAAGTCTGGAACCAGTGTTCCATATGGATATTTTCGGAATGTACTCTACTACCACATAAAAATAGAATTGGATATACGATATTTGAGAATACAAATACATTTCAAAAATATTTTATTGTCAATCAACTACAGAAATTTCTACAATATTGAAAAAAGAAGACACTTTTCATTACAAATCTATGTACATACTTTCTGTCCAAAAAGTAATATTGGCACTTTGTATAATTACCTCAAACAAATACTGATTTTCAATTCTGGAGAAAGTTGAATATAATTTTCCCAAAGAAAAAGGAGGAATGTTTGAATTAAATATCACTAATTGTAGGTAACATGATCATACTCAAATGTTCAAATCACAGAGAGAAATAGGAGATGGATAACTTACCCACAATTGAATTTCACAATTGAAACAAAATGGCCTTATATATCATATTGTGAAAAAAATCAAAACAAAAAATAATAATAATAATAATGTAATATATTTCTATTAACTAGATTTCTGGCCACTGTTGCCAATTCGTTGCTCAACCAAACTGAGGAGTTTATCGGAGTACTCTTGTAACAGGAGAATAGCGTTAAACGGCTCCTGCTGGATTGCCGGACTACTTAGTCTTTCGTCCGAACTTTGACTAGAAGTTCTAAAGGAATTCTGATAGCTTAATTCTAGCGTTTTCGAGGACGACGACCACATCGGAAAGGGAGGAATGGCGGGTCGTAGATTCTGCTGAGCTTGCCACACTCCCTGTGCCAGAATAGTGGTCATGGCGGACTTTTCACTCGAAGAAATAGTAGTATCCATAGATAACTGGGGAAGAAAACAGATTATTATTTTATTTTTATGTATATTAAAATATATTAGGTTAATGATAGTTCAAATGCCTTACCCTCTGGAATACTTGCATGGAGTACATTGTTACTTCTTTCAGTTCCTCTGCTATTTTCTCACACAATTCTTGTGTCACTAAGATGTAAATTTATTAAAGAAAAAAAATTCAAATTTAATTTAAACAGTTAATAAAGTATACTTACGTGGTACTGATGAAACATCCAATGATCGCACTGTTGCCGAATTAGTCCTTACATAATTGCTATCCATAGCATTGTTAATTGTCTGCTTTTTCCTATTGGAAACATCTAACTTGTCGAGAATCAGTCTTCCCGAGGAATGCCTTCTTTCTTGATGAGCTTTGGTTATATCCCATTCACTTTTCGAATGGGATAATATACCACTATTTTCATATTTGGTTTCACTGGAAGGGAGCTTATTTTTGGTTACTTCTCCGATCACAAGGCTTTTCTGTCGAGGTAGGGGTGAAGGAGTGGGAGGAAGACTTCTTTTAACCTCTATCGGAGAATTATCCGAAGAGGAAGAATCTGATGATGATTTGGAAATATTTAAATTACTAACACATTTATTAGATGGGAAGGTGGAAGAATTGACTTTGATTGAAGTGATTATGTTGGATGATGATGATGCTCTAACTAATGGATTATAATTAGTCCTTGATATGACTTTCTCTCTCATATATGTTTTTGATCCCACAGGTTGTAATTTTGGAGAAATGGGTTGGAGAGAACTCATACTTGCGCTTCTTGACAATTTTCTGTTCGAAATAGTAGTGGTGACAGTTTGCATTGATTTCACTTTTTTTCTTTGATTATGAGGTTTGGAGATTTCTTTGGTTGTTTTAGTATCCATTTGGTCCCATAATGGTGCAGATATTTTAGGAGCTGCAAGACGGTAAATAATAATTAATCACATCACAGTCTAAAATATTTTTCAATAACATTATTATGTTGGTCTTTTGGTTTAGATAGATTCAATTAAAATATAACAGCTGTTTCATTACTTTATGCTTTAAGTTTATAGAATTTGAAATTCATACAAAAATATGATAAATAATTAAATTAGAAACTGGGAAAGATATATTATGAAAACACAACTTAAAAAGTTTTTAAATCTTATGTTTGCATTAAAAATTTAATTGAAGATCTGACTGGAGTTAGAGATAAGAATGCACAGGCGAGGACTATCATCTAATTTTCTTAATCTTTTTGTTTTTTTCTTAGCAATTTTTATTTATGACTAAAATCCTTTTAAACAGGGATATCTATTTTTGATTTCATTACAATTCAAAATTACACCCAATAATTTTGTTTTGAGAGGCAACTTCTCTGACAGGTGTCATCAATCTTTTTGTGATTGTAGCAGGCTACTTTTGACATTAATGAAAAACTTAATAAATTTATTAATCTAAGCGAGGTAAATAGGATGTCTAGCAATGTTTAAAATCTACTTAATTTTGAGTAAAAATACTTTAGACAGACAAAAAATAAAAAAAAAAGTTAGATACATTTTTTTGTAATCAATAAAAAGTCAGTGACACAGTTTAATTTGACAGTTCATTTCTGGAAATGCATACAAGAGATTAAAGGAAACAAATACAGAAGTTAAAAAAAATTGCAAAAAGTTTCTAATTATCTTTTTGCTCAAAGATAATAGAGAAATGCCCACAGCAAAACTGTGAAAGCTGCTATCTGCTTTTCTCCTGAAGTTAAGGTAAGCCCTAAATTACGAACATCTCTCGTGTGTTGTGCTTTGGAAGATTTTGTTGCAAAAAAAAAAAATAATAATAAGTTCTAACAGTGAGAACTGATGCTATAAAAACAGATTATGCAGAACTTTGCAAATCTAGCAATGTCAAGAAGTTAACAACAGAATTCAATGTGTGTTTAACAAAGCTTCTAGAAAGAACTCCAGCAAGTAAGGTACTGGGGGAATTTATAAGAAAAATCCTAACACAGTCTCTTGGAAATGCTGATGCTGGAAAAGCCTTCTCTATAAAATATACCTTGTTGAGAATCTACAACAAGACTTGTAGTGCAGAAATCTGTACATTCAGTATTTGCCTAAGAGAGTTCTGTTGGAAAAAAATATATCTAAAGTAATGCATCTTTTCAACAAAAAGAAACTGGTGGCATGTAAGAGAAAAGAGAACAATTAAGCTCATAAAAAGAAAAAAGCAGTGGAAAAGCGTGAAGAACCATTGACAAAAAATAAAGAACTTTTATACATGTTACAAAATGGTTATATTATAATCTTACATAAATGATACTATTACATTAAACATGCACTTAAAAAAATAGCTGACTTGTTTGTAATGTTTATTTTATAAATAATAAGTTACTAATGATTCAGATTCACAACTTTCTCTTTATCCTTAACCTATGAGGTTCTGCAATGAATTACATCCTGCAACATATAGTTTTTATTTCAAAAAGCTGGCAAAGATTCTTGCTCAACTTCCCAGCACTTAAACAGGAGATTAAGGAAAGAAGAAAGGAAGATCAACATAAAATTCAAAAATATTGAAAGCTTAAGAGGAGTAATTTTGTTAAATTACAATAAATTTCTCTAAGTTTGAAAAGCTAAGACACATTACACAGAATTAAAATTGTATGTGGCATCTTTCATGAGGTTTTATTTAAAAATAGGTTTCATGTTGCTATTAATTATAAAAAGACAAAAGGCTTCATTTTGGAAATAGAGGAGTTTATAAAATAATTGCAAATGCCAGTAACAACTAAAATTTTCAATAAATCTGACCCTCTTAAGATATAATACATGACCTTTTAACTATATAAAAAAAAACAGCATTAATGCCCCATATATAGAAATAACTACCAGGTTTCAAAGCTTAGTATTTAGATTTTTGTAAGGGGGCTTCTTTTTTTTACAGTTTTGGATCCTTGAGTATAAGAATGATGAGAGAAAAAAAATTTGAGGTGGTTAAAATCTGGCTGACCACTATACTTTCCCTATGTTATATTCTATAACAGCTAGGAAGTAAAAATTAGAAATTCACTTATAAATAGACATAAGATGATGTCAAAGCATAATAGCAAAATACCAATTATTTGGATTAAAATATTACAGTGTCATTTATTTTCTGTAATATGTTGCTAACCCACAAAGGTTAATCACAAAGTTTTTGCTGTAAGGATTTGTTATATTAAAAATTCCTTTTAATATTGATTATTCTTGGATTTGACAAAAGTGGTTTGAAACAATTGCTTTAAAATAATTTATTTTTCATTTCACTGGGACAGTATTGTAATTTAATCATCTTCAATAGTAAGTAACAGAGTTTATTAGATTACAGCATTCTTGAGTAAAGCAATTTTAAAGTTACGAAAGGTTTTGTGTGCCTACAGGATTAAGGTTGGTGATCGATATGAATTATTCAACTGTTGGCTACTAAAATTTCATCAAATTAAATCAGTTTAGTTTTCAAAAGTGGGTCTCTCGGTCAGTTCAATTGAAAATATCCAAGAATCTTTCTTTTTTTTTCTATAGATTAGTTTTATATTAGTCAGCCAAATTTATAATTTACTTTTGTTGAAAAGCAAAACCTCAGAAGTAAAACAGAAATGGAAATTGTAATTTACTTTTTAAGAATTAAATTTTGAAATACATTCTAAAAGATTGAATAGCAGATATTTAAATGAATGATTAAAAGTAATTTATGATCTTAAAAGTTTTAGAATGATAATCTATATATATAAAAACGAATGTGTGTGTGTGTGCGCGCGCAAGCGCGTCCTTCATGCATTACCACACCATTTATCCGATTGCCGTGAAACTTTGGGAAGTTGTTTAATATACTCCTACGCGAAGGTTTCTGGCATAGTACAATTGCCATGAAGCTTTGAAAAGTTTTTTAATACACTCTGTTTCTGGCATAGTACATTTATCCTACGATAGATGGCACCATCCTACAATAGAGTGTATAAGAGCATTTCATCGTGAGATCGATGGATTTCAAATTGTGAAGACCATTTCCCCCCTCCAAAAAATATCTCTATATACGCATTTGTGAACTGTTATTTACGATATTTGTAATAATTTTTGTTTAATCACTTTATTTCAACTATTTTTTGCTAATTATGTATTTGCTCAAACTTTGTTAAAACCTTAACTGTATCCCGAACAACAACCGAAGTTCTAGAAGGAAATTCGCCTATTTTACCGATCTAGGGATCCCCTTTTCCAAATTTTAATATCATCTAATAATTTAAAAAGACAAATTACAATAAAACGGTTTATTATCCAACTATCAGAAATTTCACAACATGCCAAGGAAGAGAGGAAGGAGCAATTAAATAATTAAAATTATAAAGGATTTAAAAATATATATAAAAATGGGGAATATCGCACTTCTGACAATCGCAGCGAGTGTGTGGGCTAAATTTGGAGAATCCGTGCTTCTTGCATGGACAACTGTATGTGGCCAGCTCACGCGTCCGAAAACCTTCCGATTTATTCGTGTACGCACCAGACGGAAAAACAAAAACTATTGTGTATCCACAAGCACTCCAATAAATAAATAGAATTGAAACAACACTTTGAAATGTTTTCCCGATGAAAATGAATAATGATAATAAGTTTCAATAAAAATGATAAAATGTAAACTGAATTTTTTCATAACGAGTTTGCTTGAATTTCCTTTCTTCTGAGATCACAGCAATGTGCGACGGGTAAGCTAGTCTTATATATTTTCTAAATTCTACTTACTTTTTAACGGAGATGTGGGAAGAATTCTTGATGAAGAAATAATAGAAAGATCATTTAGAGAGGAAGCTCTTCTAATATCCCCTTTCAACCCTTCTGTATATTTAAGATAAATTATTAAGAACAACAGGCTTTGTTTTTTATTTTTAAATAAAATTTGAAACTTGCCTTTTCTCTCTTTAGAAAAAACAGAAAAATGTAATTCTTTATTAGGAATGTTATGAAGATCGCTAATACTTTTGCTCGAACTTAATCCTCCTCTCCATCCCAGCTGAAATTTGAAATCAATTTTGAAACAAATTTATGTTACAAATTAATGCAAAACTTCAAAACTTTTAAAATTTTTACCGTTTCTAATTTCTTTCTTGCTTCTCCAAGTGCCTTATTTAATTCTTCTCTTTTCTTTGACGATAATAAATTACTCTAGCAATAAAAATACATAGAACGTTATTATTAAATATTAACTTGCCAGATACAATGTATAAATATACTCACATTGTCATCTACTAAGCTTAGCAAATTAAATTTGGCTAATATAAATATTTAGTAGATGATGATAGTAATTAAACTAATGATTATCAACATAATTACAGAGTAATTAAAATTCTAACAAATCTGATATATTTTTGTGTAATTAGTTGCATTAGGGATTTTTACAAATTCACTATGTTTAATTCAGATTATTATTAAGCAATATTAAATGTATCTAAGAGCATTGTTAAGAAAAAAATTTCACAATCTATATCTAAATTTCAAATGCATTTAATTAATAATACTTATACACCCCATTATCTAAATCGAATATATTCGTGAAAATATTTAAATATTGAGAAATTTTACCATTATTTCTCATGGAAAAATTTCCAACTTGTATTCAGTCTAACCAAATTTCTCAAGTGACATTAAACATTGCAGGAACCTACTTATTTCAAAATAGCATAATAGTAAACATCACAAACTCCCAATTATATTAATGATATCATTAATAAGTGTTATGTTTATAAGTTATAATGCAACAAATAAGTTAATATATTAGAAATTGTGTATAAATTCCAATTTCTTTAATATTCTGTAACCAGTAATGAAAACATACATTTTACATTAAAGTGTTATTATATAAAAATAAACTTATTGTAATAAACTGTTAAGAATAAGTTTGAGTTTGTTTTAAATATCACTAAATTCCAATAAAAATTTTTAGTACATTTCAAAAGACTTTTTGCACATAAATTATTTTATATTTAAGTTGTTCTTAAGTATTAATGTTTAACATGCAATTTGGGTCATATTAAAGAGAATATTTTATTTAATTTTTGATTATAGATAAAGTGCATATCGAAATCAGTTGCATAGTTTAACAAAAGGAAAGTTAAGTGACAGTTCAGATTACTTTACAGCATTTTAAGAATTAAATCTTAATAAACTAACTTACATATATTAAATTCATTATTTACTGATAAATTTTAATCTCAGTAGACCCTCGATTTAATGGACTAATTTGAAGAAGGTATGTCCACTATTGCTAAAAGTCCATATGCTTTGAAAACATTAACAAACTTAAAATAACTTAAAATGTTATCATCATGTTGTAAATATGAATAAAATAATAATATAATGTACTGTACATTGTACTAACTGACTCAACCATTTTAGAGCATCTCTATTTGTGAATTTAAAAAATGTTTTAAATTTTTCTCCATTAAACTGGGGTCTACTGTAATGTTACTCAACCTTTCTGTCATCACATACTGATAAAATCATGGATAATTTTGTGAACCAAGTAGTTATATGCAACTATTTATTATGATTATTTACTAGAGTTACTATGTGTATTCTGTTATATACAGTAACTCTAGATTACCACTTAAATGTCACTCATTATCAACTGCACTAGCTTTAGTAAGGTCAAATACTTTTCTATGGATCAATGAAATCTTTTTGTGGACCAGCGATTGAAAAACACTAGTCTACTTTATATTCTAAAATGCAATATACAATCTTAGATATCTATCATACCTGATGTTCTAAGTGTGATTGACTGGAATTCATATCATTAGATCTGTTAAAGAAAAAAAAAACAAATACATTACATTACATGAAATTTATGTAAAGTTATTAAATGTAAAATTAATTAAATTACCTAAATCCATTTCCAAAATATGATTTAAAAATCTATGTGGCCAAATAAAATACAAAAAATTGTAAGAGTTACATTAAAAATGCTGACCATTGAAAAACTAATTGATTTGCTATTGATTAAGTGTAATTTATAATTAATAATGGCCATTACACTGCAAAGGATATATTCAATATTAAAATATTTTTACACCTGATTAATAATCTGTCCTGAATTTGACTCAATTGTTATAATTAATGACATCAGAAGCTCATAAATTATAATGGGCCATTAATGAAATAATCTTCAAATGTGTAGAAATCAAATACAACTATGAATTGAGATAAGTACAGTTATGACTTCTAATATTTAAAATTCCATAGAAATCAATAACAGTTTGCTTCCACAACATTCGTAAGAAACTTGTTATATTTACTGCCAGCATACAACAATTTACTGCTTTATTATAGAATGGATTAAATCATAATGTCTTTATGAAGGTCACAACTAATCTGACAGATCTGAATATTGAGAACACTTGATAATAGAAAAATTACAATTAACAAGAAATTTTATATTACTATACAATTTGTCCCAAGTTATGTGAAGTCCAAGTGGCAGTTGTTTACTGTATTTTATGTTCTAAGTGCCTTGGATGCTTAGAATACAAGATGACATGAAAACAGAACATTTTTACACCCTATCTACTTATTTTTGATAAGTTTATAACAAAGGATATTAATTTGTTTGCAATATATTTCAAATTAAATTTCTTTTGTCCTATTACTGATTACACACATACATCAAAATGTTTCAATAAAAACTATACAATGTGATACAAAACAGTGAGGCTGTACCATATAAGATGGTCAGGGGAGAACTCCTAGCATATCATGATATAACTGACAGATTATACTTCAGTACAAGAACTTTAAATCAATCCTGTTGCCAAAGTAGACATGATCATGAGGTTTTAATGCAATTATTAAAAGACGTTTTTAAGCAATAAACTAAGAAAATAATTTTTTTTCCATTATAAAATAGTCTCAATTGATTTCATTAATTGCTGTTTCCTCTAAAAAGCCAATCTTTCAACAATAAAATTTGAAAATTCATTACAACCAATATTCTTTAAAAAGTTTATAATACTATTTGAAAATAAAAATTAAACAATTAAAAATATACTTGCCTTCTAGGAATAGTTTGTAGAGATTTTGCTAAAAATCTAGCAGAAATACTGTATCTTGGCAGAAGAGAGTGACTTTTCTCATCAAAGTCTCTTTCAGTATCTGAATCTGAATTCTTTTCTAAACTTTCATAATTACTTTTCATGAATTGTTCTCTCTGTCCAAGTTTATCTAAATTTTCTGTGCTCATATTTAAAATAGCAAATGTTCTATCGTTATCGACTGGAGTACCTGGTTCATCTTCATCGCTGTGTGTTTCCGGTTCTTTTTTTTTATATATACATAAAAAAAAAAAAAACAGCATTATTATTATACTGAGTAAAAAAATTAAAACATTACAAAACTTTAAAATCTCTTTTTTTTTTTTTTGTTCTGTAGCATGTAGAAATGATCATCTTTTAATTCAAGCTGTTTAGACTATCCCTCAGTTTGAATTCATGAGTGTCTACAGTGTAAGAAATAGTATTTCGTTCCTTGCAAAATAATTTAAATTAATAAAATCATAGTTGTTTTCATTTATTTTAATCCAAGGATATATGTATACAATTTTTGGAATTAGAGCAATACTGATTTTACATAAATAATGGCAATTAAAACTTAAGTTTTCCACTATTGTTCATATTTGTGGTAAGTTTAACTAAAATTTACAATTTGAAAATTAAAATAATTCAAATTCAAAGTGTCATCTGAGTAGTTTAGCATTGTTGCACCACATTTCATTCTAAAATGGATACATGATTTTATTATATCAAATATAATGAAAGTTTAAAAGGGTAATTTTCAGAAATTCATTTGTGGACTATATGAAAATTTAGCTACATATCTGTATTGAGTTAAATTAATTATATGATGAATATCAGATGAAAGAAGAAACTGAATTTGAAATCTAATTTTCAAATGTACTTTATTTACACAAAAATATATAAATGTTAACATTTTTAAATTTATTTTAAATTTTCAATTCAAAATTAATAACCTTAATACAAAATGGAGAAAGAACTGCCTACTTTTAGATCAATTTCTGCAATTTAATTAAAATCAGTTTAATTCTAACCTGAAAACAATGGTTTTCAGATATGACTGGTTACCAAATCAGGCTTTACTGTTTTGTATACTTATATATAAAAAGTTTATTACAAGTACTACATGTAAATATTGAATACATGATATACACAATCAAATTAAATTAAATTAGTAAACTATATAAATATTTTTAATTAAAGTATATTTTATCCTTTATCAATGTCAAATTAATGTCAGAACATTCCAAGATTTTAGAAATTATATAAATGCTTTGATGCTAATTACATATGCCTTAATTCTAACATAAATTTATTTCTTAATGTAGATGGTATGGTTGCTGTATGTTCAAATTCTGTGTATAGTGTATTTACTGTAATATTTTAAGTCCACATAGAATAACTGGTAATAATGTGCACTAAGCAGGAGCTGCAGATTCAAGTTGTGCTCCAGGCCAATCTTTCCTACCAGAATATTCTAATTCAATTTAATTCTTTCAACAAAGAATGGCAGCTTAACTCTATTTCTAGCTAAATTGTTTAATATCTTATTAAATGGCCTTAAATTATATAGACTGTTTGTTTGACCAGTAAAGTTTATTGGGTTGTTTATGTACAGTAATTCAATATTTTTGTATCTTTGTTTTTCATAATAGTTACAAATTAAAATTATAGTAGTATTTTATAATTACCTTGAATATTTATATTTATATTTGGTATAACAGTCAGTTTCTCCAACTTCTTTTGATCTTTCAAATGCATTTGTTCACTGTTTGTTGCACATATTCTAAAGGAGCTAATTCAATTAAAATATTATATTTTAGTAAAAATAATACTTGTTATTTTGGTGATAATTATTATTGTATATTTGATTAAAATCACATTACCTATCATTTATTTCTGAATTATATGATTCAGGATAATATAAAATTTCATCTCCGTCCAGAATTTCAGCATCTGACCGTTCATCTTCGGCTTCCACATCCTCTAATTGTAAACTACTAGTACTACTTGAATCAGTTTGCACACGAGAAGTGTGCAATTCTTGTTTTTCATTAGAAGAATGATGTTTATTTTGATCGTGATATAAATTAACATGTCCATTGGATATCTGAAAATAATATTTAATAATTACTTATTTTAATTGAAATTTGCAACTTACATTTTTCTAAAATGCAAAATTAAATTTTAAAATTTTACCTGCGGAAACTTTTCCATTTGTATTTCTTCAATACTTTCGGGACAAACACGGAAACTACCGTCGTCATTTAAATACTAAATAAAAATTCAATACAATTAATTTTGAGAAAATAGTTTACGTAAATTTGTTTGACCTAAATTTTTAATGACAAACCTGATTTGTATCTTCGTTAAAATCCATATTTTCCACTTGAGAATTTTCTGAAAGTCGTAACTTTAAGTTGAAAATGGAATAGCTGGTATATTAAATTGTTATAATTATAGCCTACCTTGAATATTCGGATATGGTATAACAGAATCTGAATTTAGATAAGATCTAACAACTAAACCTCCTTCATCTAATCTCTGTGCCCATCTTCCTCTGGGCTGTAGTATCTGTTGAGACTGCTGATCTGATTTTGATACATCATTTTTTGATTCATCCAACATCTAAAAAATTGAAATGTTTATTGAAATTATAGATATATTTTCTTCTCTAGAATATAAAGTTATTATTTTTAAACTTCAGATTACCTGTCTTCTACGAATTAATAAGCAATCTTGTACGCATATACTCGTAGGACCGTGTGGAAGTAGAGGCAAAGGGGATGGATTAGTTAAATATGGTGAACTCATCTAAAAATTTCAAATGAATACTTTTAGAAAGCGAAGTTGGAGATATTTGTATATGTTTTTGACGTTTTCAACAGCTTAGATAATAGTTTACTTATCCATAAAAGGCCTGTCAAAATGCATACCGATTGGATTATATGCTTGTGAGCTTGTAGTTTAAATCTAAAATTACTTCAAAACATTTTCTTGCATTAAACTTTGAGTAGAGTTCAAGTTTTTCAGTGAATTTAATTGGCTATTTAACTATAAATTAATTTATTGTAAGCTAACTTCTGTAGTTTATACTTAATGATTATCTAAAAACACATTAAAATCTTTATCTAAAACTAACTTAAAACAAAAATAGGCCTTTAAAAATAAGTATACCAGTTACTGATAATCAGTTACATACGTAAAATAATTATTTTCCTAAATTTCTTTGGATATTAGATTATTTCATCAAGATAAATCTTTGATTCTCCATCTTCTTAGAAGTAGAATTAAAGAAATAATCCAGAATTTTCCACAAAAATACATTTTAAAAAATCGCCAAAAACTCCATAAATTTTTAGAAAAAAAACCACGATAATTTTCAAACAATTTAAATTGAAATTTTCTTAGATGATCCACTGAAGTCGGGATCAAAAAAAAGCAATTTAAACAAAACTTTTTCCATTAAGAAAACCCACAAAAGCTAATTCTTTGCATTAAAAAAAAATAAAAATTTGTAAANATAATGTTAATACACATTTCTATTAAGTATTTAATTTTTCAAAATATATAAGTAATAATTAAGATACAAACCTGTTTTTTTGCCCATGAAGGTAACTGACCCATGCTAAATCTGTACTTAGGAGAAAATTCATCATTTGGTTCAATCAATTGAGAAGGTAAGAAAGGAACTTCACTTTTTTCATCTAGTTTCTCAACCACTTGCACCGGTTTTGTTATTGCAACGGCAGTTTTTCGACTGAAAGTATTAAAAATTTGTTATTTGTCAAATAATATGAATCTTTATTTCATCAAAAAATTAAATACTTACTTGTTATCTTGCGATAAATTAGGTAAAGAATCGATACACATCTGCCTATTCTGCATTGCTTGAGTTAATTCTATTGGTAGTTTCCATAAAAAAATGCACCTACAAAATTTATTCATAATGTACTATAAAATTCATTACATATAAACCTATCGCAATTGTGTTAAGTCATTACCCGTCTCCAGAAACCGAAATAAGATATCTTCCGCAATTTGTGAATTTCAATCCTGTGACTAGTTCAGAATGACCAAACATAGATGCTAAACATTCTCCACTAAAAAAGTCATAAATATATAGACATTTATCTGTACAACTGGTAGCAAGATACATTCCAGATGGATCTAAAACTACCTGCAGTAAACAAATTTTTTTCAATCAAAAGTAAACTCATAACGCAATATAAATTAACATTTAACATTACCTTAATTAAAGTACCATCTTCTCCCTGAGAACCACGAAAGCACCGACTGTGTTTTCCGCCGTTGACATTATAAACGCGGATATTTCGATCTTGGCATGCGGTTAGAACATGACGTTGTTGCGAGTCAACTTCCATGTCGTAGAGAGTAGTTTTTCCAACAACATGATGTTCTCTCACAAAATTTAACTGAGGTGTCTAAATAAAGCATTTTGTCATGCAATTATTAAGCATATTCATTTATTGATTGTATACTAATAAATAGAATGGCAACTTACAAACTGAGCTCGTCTGAATATAATTGACTTGTCTGCAGCACACGATATCATTTGTAACTGGCTGTGATTCTGAACGAAACGTACTGCAGTAATGGAAGACGAATGGTCGTCTAATGTCTGCTGAAAGCCATAATCTTGATTGACGTCGAATACGTGAATCAAACGATCCCTACTTGCCGAAGCAAGATATCTGCAATCTACTTTTGATGAAAATAAAAATAACAGAATTGCTTTGATTTTCTGTTTTATTAATGTTTTTAATATGTAAAATATTTTATTTTATTATTAGATTATGCAAAGTTATTCATTAAAAATAAGCTATTTTTTTCAATTTAAATATCTAATCAGCAAAAATTGTTTTAGAAACATTATCTAGTAAACAAGATTATAACAAATATTACAGGATATATATAAGGTGTTTCAAAAATCAGGAAAAAAGCTTTTAGGTAAAAAGTTCAGGACTGTCTAGTAAAATTAAACTGCTGCACAACTTTCATGATTCTCATAATCAGTAGACACTGTATTAAGTATTGTATTAGTTTCATTTACTTCATTAATGATATTCTTATAAGCTATAGCATAACAGATTAAAAGTAAATCTAAATCTAAAGAATAAAACTTATTTTATTATCACCATTATAATTTTGTGGATAAACTGCAATGACTATATCCCACAGAACATTGATAGAATGGAAACAAAACCTTTACATAACCTGTTCCTCCATATATCTCACAATTCCAGAGCAGCCATTGAAAGAATGACTCTTACAGGTAAGTAATTTATAAGATACCATCTCAACCATCAAAACATTATTTTTCTATTACATTTCATAGCAGACATGATTATAAAATAAGTGAAACAATAAACAGAATGTCAAGAAAGAACTTCCTAAACTGCAAGCGTCTAAAATACAAGTGCATTTTATAGGCCCTTGTATTTTGGACGCTTGCAGGAACAATACAATTAAATAGTTTTTATAACTTTTTAATTGTATTGTTTCATTTGTTTTATTTATAAAACAAATTTCATTCTTTGGCACTCAACTCATTAACAGATACGTGCTTCTTTATATGGTAAAGACTTGACAGATTGTGTATGTCAGACTATCCAATAGAGTGATGAAGTTCTGTTTTTTTCATCAAATTATTGCTTGAAAAACATTACACGTAAACTTTACTAATATCTTCTAGCTTGAAAGTTATTTAATAATTTAAATTTATATAAATATCCCTTTAACAAATATATACAGTCGACCCCCCCTATAACACAGGTTCCTATAGTTCGGATTCCTATATGACGGCGAAAAAATTGTGACGGTATCCGTACACACATGGTAAAAAACTCCTATAATTCGGTAAAACGTCATCGGGCAGCCGAACTACTTTCCGCCATCCAGCACCACGCTACGGAGAGTTTAGGCGAGTAAGTTGAGTTTACTATCGTCTGTACAGTATGTAAATTAGGTACCGTAAGTCTAATACAGTACTAATTTTATACATTTCTTGTGAAAGAAACATTTCTTATTCAACGGCCATAAAAATTATTTATATTAATGATGTCTCCAAAGTTCAACGAAGTTTTCGCAGAAAAATAACTTATCAGAAATAGCGGCCACTGTTTGGTGCACTGCTCCGCGACAAAAACAAGCTTAAGCAATGGCGACGTCGAACGGTGCACACTCAGTAAGTAATCCTACAATTTTTTGTTTATAGCATAGTTTATACAGATTATTCCAAAAAAATATATACGTATTTTGGAAATGTTGAGTCGAATTAGTCTAGGAATCGATTAATTTTATGGAAGAAAACCTTTCAAACAGCCGTAGTCCGTAAAGTGCATAAGTGCCGAGCTGTGATTGTCAAGGACTCGTACAAAATGGATTCATAAAGAACAGAATGTATCTACCGTGTTATAGGGGGGTCGACTGTAATGAATTTGTACACTGAGTTCAAAAAATTAAGCAAATAAACCAAAATTGTGATGTCATCTTTAGTTTTGATTCATTATCAAAAAAATAATAAAAGTTAGTGCTGTTGTATGTAAACAAAAAAAATATTTCAAAGTTAAGCTAAAGCCATCATTTTAAATGTATATAATTAGTTTTAGTAATCGTCAAAATCCAGTTTACAACAACAGAAAGAGCAATGTGTTTAGAAACATGTCCTTTAATTCAGAGTTTCCCAAACAAAACTTTTTAAACACATTTGACGTGTTTGAAGTTTAGGAGCATCTTCTCCAAACATGTTGTGAATTCTTTTTATTGATTGTACTGTTTGTATTGATTGATATATCCTTTCCAAAATTCATACAGTATGCTGTATATGCCACATGTGCATTTTATTTGCAGACATTTTGACTTGATTTTATTTCAACAAGATGTGAAGTAAAAAGTTTAAAATAGGCTTCTTAACAAAGAATGCAATCTCACATTAGCTATGTGTTATATTTCAAAACTGTTATAATTAAATCACATAGCTATGTTAATTAAAGGCAGCTGTTAAAATTTTTGTTCAACCCAATAAAATTCATAGCCATACTTTGCCACTCTGTACTGCATACGAATATTGTTGATTGAAACAAAAATATGTCAGTAGCTTTTGCTCAGTGCAAATTCTGCTAAACTTCACTGTAAACTTTATTTCTTTGAATTTTTTTTTAATAATTTATCTATGCTACATTTGTAAACTTCTTGCTAAATCTGTGTTAATTTATAGTTAAAATGCTTTTATAAGTGTATTTTTTTGGGGAGGTCCAGAACAGATTAATCTAATTTACATTACTCCTTATAGGAAAATTTTGCTTGATACAGAAGCAGCCTTCTGGAATAAATTAAGTTCAAGTATCAAGGTACAGTACCACTGTATGTTATTTGAATAATAATTCTTTACATTTATATATGAAATATCAGGTAATTGTAATTACACCTGATTTTCAATGCTGTCTAGAGAGATTTACCAGTCCAAATGCAACCAAATTTGGTACGATGAAATTTTAGAATATGCAGAAGACATTTACATGAAAAAAACTTAGTACCAAAACTCACCACTATGGCATTTTTGTTACTTCAGATCCATGAAATTTTTGATTGTGGAAGCATTTGAAAAATGATTTTATTGAGAACATTTAATCTTTTGTCATGGGTATTATTTTCAGGAGGATATCAATTCTCTTATGACATTTCCTTTTGTATATGCAATAAACAATAAACAATATTCAAATTTGGCAGCCTTAAAATGCTATCAGACTCCATGTGAGAAGCATCACAGTTAGCCATTGAACAAATTGTTCATTACCTTCAAGTTTTACACCTTTTTCAATGGTAACCATATTGAAACAGTATCTCCTGCATCACTAAGTCCTGTACAAATAAAATGCCTGTTGCTTGCAGAGCCAAAAGGCCATAACGATAAGTTTCAGTATTCTTTTTTATGGAACTTCTTCCCCAACTTGAAATGTCATCCAAATTTGATTGCGTTTGGAGTGCTAAATATCTCTAAACAGTACTGAACAGGGGCTTTTTAATTACAATCATCCAGTATATTTATAATCTTATTTTACACTTAACTAAATATGATTCAATTTATGAAATGGCATACAACATTTTAATGTTATCGGTAAAAATAATTCAGTTTTTCAAATACAAAATAATTGGATATAAAAAAACTATTCAAATAAATGTGTATAATTCTAACACTTTCGACATTATTAAATTGTCTTCTTCAGGACAGCTTTATAAACAAAAATTTAAATATACATGTTTAACAGTTTGAAAAATACAAAATAAAATTAAAAATAAATGAATCCAACAATTTTTATGCTAACAGTTTAGAAATGGTGTTGCAATAGTACCAAATAATTGTAATGCCAAAAACACTAGAATTACGAGGCGTGTTCTGAAAGTAAGGACATGCCTCGTATTATACAGTTATTATATTGTACATTCTTTTACAGTATAACAATTTAATAAAAAATTATATTAAAAATTAAATTAGCCATTTGAATTTGTTAACTTTGTAAAAGATTATACCTTACTTTTGGGTCATGCCTCAACAGTTTTTTTTTTAATCCAATTGTTTCACACCCAAAAACTGAATTCCTTATACTAAATATAATGTAAAATTTCTAATTCATAGATTAATCTGATTACTTTTTTGGTTTTGTTACTTAATAAAACTTACTTCCAAATGGCTTTGAATATTCCAAACACAAGACTTCTGCATCATGAGCTTCAATTTTACATAATTCTTCCATTTGTTGCAAATCATATATTCTACAAAAAATAAATCATCAACACATTTAAGCACTTATAGTGTACAGTACATTATATATTTTTTTATAAATGGCTGACAAATTTACACTTTAAAAAAATACATAGAGACTAAAATGTCTTCATTTTTGCCACGTTTAATCACCAGAAACAACAGTTTTCCATTGCAGGATGACCTTTTATTAGAAGTTATGCTTCTAAACTATGCAAAACAGTTAAAAAAAAAAAAAATTGCATATTTTTTTTATTTATTGGCTTGTCACTGATGAACTTTTTAAGCTGTTTTGCATATTTTTGCACAGGCATAGCCTCTAATAAAAGGTCATCTCTGCAATGGAAGACTGTTATTCCTGGTGATTCAACTTAAAAAAAAAATGAAGACATTTCAGTCTCTTCTACATATTTTTTAATGTATACTATACCAGGAATCGCACTGCATAGTGCCAAAATTGTCACATGGTGATATTTTTATTAAGTGTTGATAAAAATATAATACTGGTGATAGCAATTAGTGATAAAAACACCAGTCTGCTTGTTTCAACATTCAGCATGAAATTGAATCACACTTCAGAAAAACAGCAGAAAGTCTAGCTCCCGTGCAATGTTAGTCCCATGCACAATACACCTAGCGATGTCGTGCAACAAGTTCAGGCAGAAAAGTAGGAAGTGACATTGAGAACTGAAGGCAGTTTTGTGCAATGCCACCTGGTGTTTCTAGACTGAGAATTTTTTTATTGACAGACAGAAAATCTGGGGAATTTTTTCGGGTGACTTTTTTTAGTACACTAAAACAAAACTTTTGACATACAGAACTTGTGAATACTGTTTAAATATTGTGATCAAATGTGTTTTTGGAATTATTCATTAAAAAGTTATTCAAAAATGATCCCTATTGCTAACAAGCAGAGGGCCAGACATTCGGGTCTCCAGTTCAAATAAAACTTGGTGAGCACATAGCCTTAAACACAAACAGCTCCTTGTCCAAATAATTTATTTTTTGTGGGCTGCAAAACATTCCAACTGCATGATACTTATTAGCATTTACATTTAAAATAACACTCATCAACAACAGACTCCAGCAAAATGTAGAAATTTTAATGTAAACTAACATTTTCATCTGTATATAATGGACATCCTCAAGTTTAATTACATAATACAGACCAGTAAAATTAAATTAAAGTTAAATGAGGATGCCCATTATATATGGATGAAAACATTAGTTTACAGTAAAATTTCTAAAGTTTGCTGGATTTTGATAGTGATGAGTGTTATTTTTGAATATTTAACCAGTTATTTGAGTATTTACATTAAATTAAATTTTACATCAATTAACTTTCATTCATAAGAAATTAGTAGAATTATACTTACAGATACCATCTTTTATTGAATATAAATTACAATTTAAACTACTATTATAGATATTACAATCAGAACATGTTAAATTTTTCCCAGCTTCTATAAGCACACAATGAAACTAGTTATTCTTTCAATCACCATAACAGTGTATTTCTATTAATAGGACTTATCATACTGGTGTATAAGATTACAGCAACTCAGTCACACAGATTAAAAATTGTTTTATTTACAATTACCTGTTTACATTTTCTCAAATACCAAATTTCCGATTTCAATCCAATTCGGTATTTTGATCAAATTTCCGATTTGGTATTTGAGAAAATGTAAACAGGTAATTGTAAATAAAACAATTTTTAATCTGTGTGACTGAGTTGCTGTAATCTTATACACCAGTATGATAAGTCCTATTAATAGAAATACACTGTTATGGTGATTGAAAGAATAACTAGTTTCATTGTGTGCTTATAGAAGCTGGGAAAAATTTAACATGTTCTGATTGTAATATCTATAATAGTAGTTTAAATTGTAATTTATATTCAATAAAAGATGGTATCTGTAAGTATAATTCTACTAATTTCTTATGAATGAAAGTTAATTGATGTAAAATTTAATTTAATGTAAATACTCAAATAACTGGTTAAATATTCAAAAATAACACTCATCACTATCAAAATCCAGCAAACTTTAGAAATTTTACTGTAAACTAATGTTTTCATCCATATATAATGGGCATCCTCATTTAACTTTAATTTAATTTTACTGGTCTGTATTATGTAATTAAACTTGAGGATGTCCATTATATACAGATGAAAATGTTAGTTTACATTAAAATTTCTACATTTTGCTGGAGTCTGTTGTTGATGAGTGTTATTTTAAATGTAAATGCTAATAAGTATCATGCAGTTGGAATGTTTTGCAGCCCACAAAAAATAAATTATTTGGACAAGGAGCTGTTTGTGTTTAAGGCTATGTGCTCACCAAGTTTTATTTGAACTGGAGACCCGAATGTCTGGCCCTCTGCTTGTTAGCAATAGGGATCATTTTTGAATAACTTTTTAATGAATAATTCCAAAAACACATTTGATCACAATATTTAAACAGTATTCACAAGTTCTGTATGTCAAAAGTTTTGTTTTAGTGTACTAAAAAAAGTCACCCGAAAAAATTCCCCAGATTTTCTGTCTGTCAATAAAAAAATTCTCAGTCTAGAAACACCAGGTGGCATTGCACAAAACTGCCTTCAGTTCTCAATGTCACTTCCTACTTTTCTGCCTGAACTTGTTGCACGACATCATGAAATTGCTAGGTGTATTGTGCATGGGACTAACATTGCACGGGAGCTAGACTTTCTGCTGTTTTTCTGAAGTGTGATTCAATTTCATGCTGAATGTTGAAACAAGCAGACTGGTGTTTTTATCACTAATTGCTATCACCAGTATTATATTTTTATCAACACTTAATAAAAATATCACCATGTGACAATTTTGGCACTATGCAGTGCGATTCCTGGTATAGTATACATTAAAAAATATGTAGAAGAGACTGAAATGTCTTCATTTTTTTTTTAAGTTGAATCTCCAGGAATAACAGTCTTCCATTGCAGAGATGACCTTTTATTAGAGGCTATGCCTGTGCAAAAATATGCAAAACAGCTTAAAAAGTTCATCAGTGACAAGCCAATAAATAAAAAAAATATGCAATTTTTTTTTTTTTTAACTGTTTTGCATAGTTTAGAAGCATAACTTCTAATAAAAGGTCATCCTGCAATGGAAAACTGTTGTTTCTGGTGATTAAACGTGGCAAAAATGAAGACATTTTAGTCTCTATGTATTTTTTTAAAGTGTAAATTTGTCAGCCATTTATAAAAAAATATATAATGTACTGTACACTATAAGTGCTTAAATGTGTTGATGATTTATTTTTTGTAGAATATATGATTTGCAACAAATGGAAGAATTATGTAAAATTGAAGCTCATGATGCAGAAGTCTTGTGTTTGGAATATTCAAAGCCATTTGGAAGTAAGTTTTATTAAGTAACAAAACCAAAAAAGTAATCAGATTAATCTATGAATTAGAAATTTTACATTATATTTAGTATAAGGAATTCAGTTTTTGGGTGTGAAACAATTGGATTAAAAAAAAAACTGTTGAGGCATGACCCAAAAGTAAGGTATAATCTTTTACAAAGTTAACAAATTCAAATGGCTAATTTAATTTTTAATATAATTTTTTATTAAATTGTTATACTGTAAAAGAATGTACAATATAATAACTGTATAATACGAGGCATGTCCTTACTTTCAGAACACGCCTCGTAATTCTAGTGTTTTTGGCATTACAATTATTTGGTACTATTGCAACACCATTTCTAAACTGTTAGCATAAAAATTGTTGGATTCATTTATTTTTAATTTTATTTTGTATTTTTCAAACTGTTAAACATGTATATTTAAATTTTTGTTTATAAAGCTGTCCTGAAGAAGACAATTTAATAATGTCGAAAGTGTTAGAATTATACACATTTATTTGAATAGTTTTTTTATATCCAATTATTTTGTAATTGAAAAACTGAATTATTTTTACCGATAACATTAAAATGTTGTATGCCATTTCATAAATTGAATCATATTTAGTTAAGTGTAAAATAAGATTATAAATATACTGGATGATTGTAATTAAAAAGCCCCTGTTCAGTACTGTTTAGAGATATTTAGCACTCCAAACGCAATCAAATTTGGATGACATTTCAAGTTGGGGAAGAAGTTCCATAAAAAAGAATACTGAAACTTATCGTTATGGCCTTTTGGCTCTGCAAGCAACAGGCATTTTATTTGTACAGGACTTAGTGATGCAGGAGATACTGTTTCAATATGGTTACCATTGAAAAAGGTGTAAAACTTGAAGGTAATGAACAATTTGTTCAATGGCTAACTGTGATGCTTCTCACATGGAGTCTGATAGCATTTTAAGGCTGCCAAATTTGAATATTGTTTATTGTTTATTGCATATACAAAAGGAAATGTCATAAGAGAATTGATATCCTCCTGAAAATAATACCCATGACAAAAGATTAAATGTTCTCAATAAAATCATTTTTCAAATGCTTCCACAATCAAAAATTTCATGGATCTGAAGTAACAAAAATGCCATAGTGGTGAGTTTTGGTANAAATATAGGATTTATCATTTTTATTTGAAATTTTTATTGTACTTACAAAACTATAAATATTACGTTGATAAAATGTTTCGGGACTTAAATTATTTTCAAAATTCCATATTCTTATTGTATCATCACTAGAGCATGTAAGAAATGTTCCTTTGGGAAGAACGTTTTTGGAAGTTGAGGAAACATCTGGATAAGTCTAAAATATCAAAAATAAATTGAATTATTATAATTTATAAAATTATCAATAAACAGTATCAATAATAATAATAATAAATCTTACTTCTACTCCCCAAATACATGCACTGTGATAAAGGAATGATTGAATTTTCCCAATTTTTTTCATATCCTTTATATCCCAAATATACATGCTGTGATCATTATATATACAAGTAACCTACAAAAAAAATTTAATAATTTAGATAGAATGACATATAATTTACAAAATACATTATTTATAGTGTGTAGACCTTTTTATTTTTTTCATCCAAAGAAATTGCTATAGCATTGGGAAATCTTGCACCAGATGTGGGTGGATTTAATTGTCTGTTAAAAATAAATTATGAATTAAATTAAAATGTTAATTCATCAAAAAGATTATCCTTTATTCACTTTTATAACTTAAATATATCAAAACAGTTACCTTCCATGCAATCCTTTATCAATATCTATTCCTAAATAATGAGGACGAGGAAGAGTACATAAAAATTGAAGATTAAAAGGATTAAAGCACCTCACAACTCCTTCGGCACATCCTATAAAAATATAGTCTTTTCCTACAGATATACAGTTGGCACTAGAAGTCTGTAAATTTAAAATCATTATTTTACATTATGATATATATGAAAAAATAATTTTATATATCAAAAATGTAAATGTACCCTAAGTTCAACCCATTTGTCAAGTAACCGTCTACTATTAAATTCACATAACAATCCAGATTTAGTAATTGCATAGGTGCTATCTGCCATGTCGCCTCGTCCACATGAGACATCACAGAAATAATTATTTCTCTGATCTCCTAATATTGCTGATCTTCCCATTAGTGGAACTGGTTCAAGTTTATACTATAAAAATGAGAACATTAATAAATTATTTATGTCTGTATGATAATGAATTCAAAAATATATTATTAAATTTTTTTATGTTTATTTTATTCTACTGAAATCTGTTTACTGAACAAATTTTCTTTCCTTTCTTAAATTTAAATGAATAAGTCAATATTTTACAAGATGGAAATTTATTACGGTTAGTTTTGATTAAAGCTAGGTATCACAACAGTATATTTAATTGCATACATTATAAGGTTCCACTTATATTCTGTTTCCACTAAACATAAAGGCAATTTTTGTACATCATCAATCACTTCTGTAGTTAATTTAACTGTAAAACTAGTTGGTTTGTTTAAAAAAAGGTATACTCTACCAATTGCCTCTTACCAAAGTTTAGAAAGGTTATTAGTTATGAAGAGAACATCTGTTTTTATTAGAATGTTTCAGTGTTTACGCTAAACTCATTTTGCATCCTTCAAAATTTCACTAAATCAATACACAGGTGCAACTTCTAGACAATTAAAATTATATATCAGACATGGGCAAATGCAACTCCAAGAGCTGCATGTTGCTCTTTTTAAGTTACATGCTGCTCTTGCTTAAAGTGTTAATTTCTGCTTTTTATTATTATTTTTACAATTTTATTTCCACAATTTTGTGAAAATATGTTTATTAAAAAAAAATTCTTTTTTTTTATATTATATAATAAAATCGCGGTACAGAACTGCAGCTCCCATGCATTTTGCAAAACCTACATTTTGGCTCCCACTGAACTTTTGCTTGCCCACCCAATATATACAGTATATTAAAATACCAGAATTCCATAAGTAAGGATCAGACATACTGCATACGGAACTTGCAAAATATTTAGATAAAGAAGATTACTTAACATACTTGGAGAAAAGTGGCTTTATTAAAATAAATCTTTCATTCAAAGCAAGTTTTTGTTTTGCAGTTGCTTATTATTAACAGAACACAGCTCTATCAATACTTTTTTCTGCCAAATTATTGATTGTTAGTATATAAATTTTTAACTTAAATATAATTATGTTTTAATCCATTTATACATTGAAAACCATTATCTACTTTAAATTATGAAGGTCATCCAGAAAGTAAAGATCTATTGCGCATTCCAGCTGCGCAGTTTGATCTCGGGCTACTATCCAAGGTCAAATAGTTTCCTCTATGTCTTTTCTGAGTGTTGTGTGAGTGATAGTTGAAACAAATTGTTATTGTGCATCCTGTGATTGTCAACAATGAACACTGTGATACAAGGTCCTGCCAACTGTGAGGTCAGAGGTATTATTTGATTTTTGAATGCTCAAAAGTTGAAACCTGCAGAAATTTACCATCAACTAAAGGAAGTGTATGGTGATACAGTAATGAACAAAAGAAATTGAGAAAGTGGTGTGAAATGTTTAACAATGGATGAACAAATGTGCATGATAAAACTCGACCCGGACGTCCATCACTCATCACAGATGATTTGAAGAATCAAGTGAAGAACAAAATCGTTCAAGACAGACACGTGACCTTGGATGAGTTACACGTTTGTTTCCCTAACATTTCTCATTCTTTGCTTGGTGAAATTGTCTCTGAACATCTTGGCTATAGCAAAATTTGTGCACAATGGGTTTTTGGCAACTGAGTGACCAGCACAGAACACAGAGAATGGATGCAGCACTGACATTTTTGATGCGGTATCACGCAGATGGAAATGCATTTCTTGGTCAAATTGTTACTAGCAATGAGACATGGGTGTCTCACTTCACCCCAGAGACCAAGTGCCAATCACTCAAGGGGCATCATCCCTCATCACCCAAAAACCGCAAAAATTCAAACAAACTCTGTCAGCACGAAAACTCATGGCAACAGATTTTTGGGATCATAAGGCTATTCTCTTGGTGGATTTCTTGCCAAAAGGCACTACAATCAATGCAGATCGATATTGTGACACCCTAAGAAAACTACAGCAAGCAATCCAAAATTGTAGGCATGGAATGCTTTCTCATGGTATTGTGCTTCTTCATGACAATGCCCACCCTCACACTGCTGCTGCAACCATAGGCTTGCTGGATCGATTTGGATGGGAAATTTTTGATCACCCACCCTATAGTCTGGACCTTGTTCCTCGCGATTTAGCCTTTTCATGAAGCTCAAAGAGTTCCTGGGCATTTTGGAAATGATGAGGTGAAGAATGCAGTAAACAACTGGCTTAATGGACTGGCAGCAGCCTACTAAGACATGGAAATTCTAAAGCTTGTGGACAGATATGACAAATGCTTAAATAATGACGGTGATTATATACAGAAATAAAGTAAGTTTCAATTTTGTATGTGACACGTTTTTGTTAATAAAATATATTTCTTTCATTTACTAAAATCAAACGGTCGTTACTTTCTGGATGACCCTCGTATATCATGTATACTTTTGCAAGTTGTTTAATTTTTTAAAATCATATTTTATAAAATTTGCCTTTATTAATTTTAAAAATTTATTTGGTTGTTTTGATTTTGCTTAGTAAGTAAGACTAAGTCAAAGGTGCTCTTTTCTAAAAATCTTTATTTGTTCTATAACAGTTTCCCAAAGATATTTTTCAGTTGAAAATATTTGAGTCTATTTTGAACAAGTGGCTGTGATCTTTATCATCAATAAACAGTTTTTTTTTACTTTTTGTTGTTATTTAAATTAAATTTATCATTCTCCACTTCAAAATCAGCCTATAAAATGCAAAAACTCTAAACAATGATAAAGACAATCAAGTATATAAATGAAAAACCAAGATTATATATGCTAGATTTAACACATTTGTATATATCTTAATCATATCTGTTTCTTTCAAATTGTAAAATCAAACATTTTCTTTGCTAAGGAAGGAATAAAAAATTTTATTTAAATTTGTATGTATACAAGGAGTAATCAAAAAGTAACTTTACAAATTCAATAGCACATACTTTTATTGCAGAAATGAAAATGCAGGATTTATCTGCACTATGCTATTTCTGAACAAAATTGTCCAGCCTCTTCAAACATTTATCACAATGTTTAAATGGCCTCTGTCCTCATAAAATTCCTGTACTTATTGTTGCATCCATCCAGCAATTATGGTTTTTTCTTCAACAATAAAACAAATTCTGTTCTCCTTCAAATGTCAGAATACACAAAAAGCAAGAGTGTTCAATTATATAAGGAGATAATGATGTACCTCACATTGAAACATCTGCAGCAAATCTAGTGATATGTATGCAGTCTAGTGTTGTCATGGAAGAGAACAACACTGCAGCTGAGGAGTCCAGGATGCTTTCTCCTGAAGTTCTCTTTCAAGTGTGTTAATATGATGCAATATGTGGGTGCCCTCAACTAGGTCCAAACACTCCAAAATTTGATAAAAAATTCCTAGAAAAAAAAATGTTTAAAAAACAAAATATTTTTGTTTAAAGTTTACATAAGGAGAACTTTCATAAACAATTTAAATCCTAAGATCAACCATTTCTAGTTGGGATTGGAATTGGGCATTAAATTAAATGTCAATGTTGATCTCTCCAGTGGCTGACTTTGGACATGTTTCCTCGTGAAGCAGCTAAGCAAGCAAACCAATGACATAGTTCGTTTCATATGAAACAATCTAGGTCATTGGCTTACTTGCTTAGCTGCTTCACGAGGAAATGCATGCTTTGTCTTGAATTATCTCTGGAATCAGGTACAAAACTAATTGGAATGTATGAAAAAGGAACTAAGACCAATAGGCAATCAAAAGGCTAAATAGATAAAATCCCATATCTCAATAACATAAGGTTCCCTTTCATGCAGTTCCTTTTCACAAAGTTCTTTTACAACAAAAGTTGTTTTTTTGTTGTTCCTCTGTTCCTTGTTTTTTGTGTGCATCTCTTCTATCGAATCTTATCATATATGGGTGAGCCTGTGCTTTCAGCTACTTGTGAAGATCTTTGGAATTCAGTTTAACTTAATTAAGTAGACCAAGATGCCTTGTCTCATGAGAAACATACTAATTACTCAAATGTATAAACTTTTCCTGTTAGCTAATGTTTTCTGTAACCAGAAATGCTTGTTTATATTAAAATCATTTATTTTAATATGGTGTAGATAAATCATCCTTTATCCATGCAACACACATCTCACTAGTAATGTGTCAAACACCTGGGAAAGGGCTATGGAAAACCAAACAATTAAACCAAAACTATTCTTAACTGGAATGCAAATCTTGTGACCCCACAATCATTCATTTTGCCAATCTGGACCATTACAACTACTTACATTGAATTACACTTGATAGTGTTTTGGTTTTTAAAGTGTAGACTTGTAAAGTCACTTTTTGATTACCCTACACAACATCAAACTTTTAACTCAGACATAATTTAAAAGTATAGTAATGTTTATACCTTTGTTGAGCGTGAATATTCTAAATACCAAAATTTGACATGTCTGTTTCCTACTGTAACAAAGTAATTTCCACTTGATGCAAATGATATGGCTTTAACCTGAAAATATATAAGTTCATTTGAATTACTTACAGACAAACACACAAAATTTATTTAATTAGGTAAAGTTGATTAAAATATAGTATTTCTTTTGATATTTCATATGAAAAAATTAATTTCTATATTTAAAATATATAGTTTAAAGTTGTTTTATTTAGCTAAATATAAATATATTAGCTAAATAGTATAGCATTTTTCAAGTTTTATGAAATTTCAGGTAATATTTGATAGTTAGAAAAATAAGTATAATAGAGCATTGATTATCCAAATACCAATCAACCAAAAGCATTCTAGTCAGCAAATTCAAATTTTCACTAGGGCTGTGGTGTTGCAGCACTCTTCCTCTCCCTGCCAAACTGAACTGTAGGCCTAGTTTAATGTATCACATTATGTAAGGTATGTATTTGTAAGACGTGTGATACAAATTATACACAATACAGTTTTGTGTTTAATATATTTTTTGTAAATGATCAGCTAGCCGAACAACCCCAGTCCCAAATTGTTTCAGATAATCGATGCTCTATTGCAGGGCTTCTTAAACTTTTTTTATTCCATTCACGACCCCATTTATGATTGTGATTTTTTTCGCAACCCAAAATTATAAAATAAAGATATATATAAATTTGCAAAAACAATAATGGTGTGCTACCACAGTTCACTTGTGTTACAATGGAAGAGAGACAACTGAATACGCTGAAAAGTGACAACACTACACTAGTTCACACTACAATCAGTGTTGATGAATCATTGTCTTGCTGCACCAGAAGTGACACAAAGCGCAACTCACGAAACTTATGACACAAAGCATGCCTCACTTTCAAACTCATTTTCAAACTCACAAATTATTTTCAAAATTTTGCATTAAAATCTCGTGACCCCAAGATTTCACTAAGTGACCCCAAATGGGGTCGCGACCCATAGTTTAAGAAGCTTTGCTCTACTGTATTACTATTAAATTTTTTAAAAGTAAAGATTACACATTTAAAATGAAATTCTATTATAATAAAACACTACTCCATGATTAAAAGCTATAGAATGCAATAAAATATAGTTAAAACCTGTTTTGTAAGAGTAAAAATTAGCATATTCAAGCAAATTTTAAAGAAGACTAATTGACTTTTATACTTACTTTACAAGAAACTTTATTTGAAGCTATCTTGACATTTGATTTCCATTCCCATACATTAACAATCATGTCATGTTGGGTTCCTACAGACACTACGTATTTCAAATTAGGTGAAAATGCCTATTCATAAAACAATGAATAAATACATATTAAACTTCAGTTATTAAGAATATAAAAATAAAATTTGCAAGTATATAATATTCATAAAAATTGTATTTTAATTACATAAAAATAAGCCAAATGTAGTGATAACCCTTAGGACTTGAGAAATAGGACAAGGATTATTATACGAGGGCTATTTTTTAAATAAGTCTGTTTGTGAATGAGAGTGAGAATGACGCGTGATCACAGCAGTGCACCTGTGCATCTGCTCCAAGCATGCTTTGCACGCATTTAGACACCATTTGCAGCCATATCGTCTATCTGTGTGCTGAGCTGTAAAAGTTTATAATGTTTAAGAAAATTGAGTCGCCCACCAACTGTGAGATACAATCTGTTATTCGATTCTTGAGTGCAAGAAACTTGGCAGCAGTGGAAATTCACTGTCAGATTTGTGAAGTTTACAGTGATAATGCTATGAGTGACAGTAAAGTTTGAAAGTGGGTGAGAATGTTCAAGGACAGGCAGGTTAATGTGCATAGTGAGCCACATTAACCTGCCTTTCCGACCTTCTCTGATTTCTGAAGATTTGGTTTGTGATGTGGATAACAAAATTCGAGAGGGCCAACAATTCACGATTTCAATGTTACCAATTGAATTTCCACAGGTTTCAAGATCAGTTTTGTATACCATTGTTTTGGAGAAATTGAATTATCGAAAATTGTATTCAAAGTGAAAGCCAAACAGTCCATTTCAGCATGGAAAATTATGACAATTGTCTTTTGGGACAGGAAAGGGATATTGTTAGTGGATTTTATGGCGAGATGCACAACAATCAATTTTGATGGATATTGTGTGACCTTGAGAAAATTCTGGCATGCCATACAAAAACAAGCAGCGTGGTCTACTGTCTTCCTGTGTGATGTTGCTTCATGACAATGCAAGGACACATGTTTCTGCACAAACACAAGGTCTAATCAGTTCTTTTGGATGGGAACAACTGTATCATCCACCTTACAGTCCAGACCTTGCACCCAGTGATTTTCATTTGTTTCAATACTTGAAGGAGTTTTTTGGTGGCCAACAGTTCAACAACGACAAAGTGAAAACCGCAGTCATGGATTTGGCTTTTTCACAGGCGGCAGATTTCTTTGAAGTCGGAATTCAAAACATTGTTGAGTGGTATGACAAATGCTTGAACAAAAAAGGAAATTATGTAGAAAAGTAGATAAAAGTACGTAGAATATGGAAAAAATATATTTTAATGATATTTACAGTATTTTTCTTCTTATTAAAAAACAGACCTTATTTAAAAAATAGCCTTCGTATAATTAATCAGAAAGATTTAATAAGTATTTATACACAACAGAGCTGTAGAAATCCTTAATTAACTAAAGCCTTTCTTCTAATTCTCTTCTTATTAATCATAAGTAAACTATACTCTACTGATTATATAAAAAAAATTTAATCCACTAAATAAGTAAAAATTATTAAAAGTTATTCTACTTTTAATACTTCTTTACTTACAAGATTTTTTTGTATAACTCAATTTTTTGAATTTTAATTCAATGAATTTTACTATATAATTTATCACACTACTTTTACAGATTTGTATACTTCAGCATTATTTTTATCCAAACTACAATAAAATTTAAATTTGTTTTTTTCTTATTATATTCAATGACACAATTTGCACAATATGACATCAGTGAATAACTACATGCAATTAATAAATGNATAAGGACTTATGTCTGCAAAAATAAATAAGATCATGTCATTTTCAAAATTATTTCTTTATTTCTGGACTTGCTTCAGAAATTTTTAATGGAATTTCTAAAGCAAGCCCATATTTTTGAATAAAGATTTTTAAGTGCAATTAACTTCCAATTCTCCAGTCAAAAATGTTCTATTATTGTCATCTGTCAAAAAGTAAAATATGGATTCAAATTCAAATTTTAATACAATTTCAATTCTAGTTATACTAAAATTAAAAACTAATATTAATATAAATTTACAAATCAATGAAATTACTTACTCTATCTGATAAGGGGATAATTTCTCTCCCTCTTCTCAACGCTGGAGCTCGCAATACTTTACGAGGTCCTATTTTCTCCATCTGAAAAAAA